GAAGATACATTACGGAAGGTGTGGTGGTAACGTGGGGAGATTAGCATAAGATAATAGCCGGTGGTGGTGTACTGTGTGTGTTATAATGCATTAGACACTCACCGAGGGGTCTGTGTTCCTTTTAAGGGTCTAAACCGTAACGCTCAATTTCCAAGGCAAATTATCCCAGATTATTTGAGTTTTGAGTTTTTTCTTTTATGCATTTTGTGGTCTCCTTCTAAAATTGTAGCGTTAAACGTTATTATTAAATATTTTCCATTAAGCTTTTATATGCAAACATTTGTTTTAACGCAAAACAATGAATGTACTTTTCACAGTGGCCCCTGTGATTTAACTTTACTGCATTGTTTGATTACTGTGACATATTCATGTAAGCAGGATTTTACTTCAGATGTTACTGACGGTTTCCTGCTTAACGGTAGTTTATTGTATATCATTATTTCATTTAAGGGAACGTCTAAGGGAAATTAATGTGTTACAGCAGACAATTAAAAAAATAAGTACCACAATAAACGGAAATATATAAATTGCCTCCTTCTGTTTCCATGACACTGTAAGCCTCATATGTAACTCCGTGCAATAGCTTTACCTGTTTATGATGTATGTGCATAGCGTGCTTTAAAGGGCAACGCATCCACCATTACTTCCTGTGCCTTTTCAGTGACGATATTCGTCCATCATGAGACTTTCAGTCATGATGACAGGATGCACTTCCTGTATTCCAGTGTGTTCACACGTTAATTTAAGGACTCAAGACACATGAGCGTGTTGTTGAACCATCTGCTCATCATGTGATGTTTTGGGGAAACATGTTTGCAAAGGAAGGACTTTTCGTTTGGAATAAAGCTGTAATTTTAGAGTTTCCAGATGGATGAAGACTACTCCATTTTAAAGACTGCTTTCTGCCTCCTTCCAAAAATACTTTAGGGATCCCCTTTGGCAAGGCACTTAACCACCAACTTCTGCTAAAAAACAACAACAGGTGATGTGAAACTAAAGTCACGTATTCTCAAAGGTCAAAGAGTTATCGCTGCTGCGACAGTCTGAGTCACACTCGCTGCATCTCCTCGACTTCAACTCTGAAACCGCCTCACAGAACCGAGACAGAACTTATTGGTGGTTTGAGTCCATGATTGTGTGTTAAAGCCCTGTGACCCAAAGCTCCCTTCCATCGAAACCGAGCAGGGGGGGAAAAACGCTTTAGTTCCTACGCGACTGTGGTGGAAACTTCCTAAACAAAGATCTGCTCGAACTTTCAGCTCGTTTCAGTTCTGCCTTTCGAATAGACACAAATTAGACACACGTCTGTGTAAAGCTGTTGTTATCTTCTTCTATTGCCTAAATATTCTTGTTATTCTTTCTAAACGTCTGATGTTTAATGTACATCTGTGCTCTTTTAAAGCATGTTGAATGGCGCTAGGAGTAAAACTTACAAAGATGACTATCTGTGGTTTATCATGTTCCAGCTGGTCGGGCCTTTTTTTTTAAAATCCCACTTCCGTCTCTGTCTTTGACATAAGCGGTTTGACGGGTCGGTCACGTTAGCTGGGCTGCTGGCATGTTTGGACTAATGCCAGTGCGTGAGGTATGAAGATTTAACTGCTTCAGATTGAGACTCTCTGAGTTAGAGCAAAGTCACTGTTGCTCCTCCTGTGTAGGATGTGGAATACTAACGTTAAATAGGCAGCTGTTTGCTAATAAGTTCCCCGCATGGACTTAATAAATGATGATACGTAACAGCTTTGGTTCCAGCTCGTTGCTTTGACCCAACTGGCCAAAACAAATGAGACTAAATTTATCAATTTCTGTCTAAACATTTTTCTTTTGGTAATATTATTCCCACCATAGTAGGTGACATGCAGTAAGATAAACTGTGTGTGTGTGTGTGTGTGTTTGATGCGTCACAAATTAGGTAACAACCATTAGTTCCACCGAGACAAATTAAGAATGTTCCATTTGATCCCTAAATTTGTGCAAATTATGCCACTGAATCATAACTTTTAATCAACTAATTTGCCCGCGAGTACCGATGGCAGGCAATCCATCAATTATTGGAACTTTACCTTCACCTTTCAAACTAATTTGGAGCGATTTTAGTCTTCCACAGCGGAGGTTTCTAGGCCTCCAGACGAGACACCAGCCTGGATGGAGCAGAAGCTACCTTTGCATCTGTGGTGAAACCGCACTTTGGCCCAGTTTATTCCCTTACACACCGAGGGAAGCAGCACAAGCCCACACACGGCAATACCGAAGAAGGAGAGACGAGAGGGAAACCATCACCCTCCCCCCCCCTTGATGTGGGTTTTCTTCTGTCACCTTCACACCAATGTGAAAATGAAACCTGGTGGATGAACGGGGCATCTTGTTTGCCTGCAGCTTCCTTCCTCTGCTTCCTGCCTATTTGTCCTCCCCCCTCCCCCCTCCTTTCCTCCCTCCTCTCCTCCCTTTTGCGTGATGTAATCTCTGGTGCTGGAGCTCCGCCACTTGATGACCACACAAACCTGGGGTTTCATGATGCAACCCAAGAGCAATCGGCAAAGAACAAAAGAGGGTCCTCAAGGGGTTCCAGATATTGCAGTGGGGGGGAGTAACGCGACAATGATGCAGACACAGGAAAAGGAAAGGATTTCCTTAATTTGGAAACGTTTATACTCCCCCGTTCCGTGAGAAGGAGTAATTCTCTGGGAGGTCTCCAGTGGGAGTTTTGGGGTCACGTTACAGATGACCTCTCACCGGCGTGTTTTTGTCCGCTTGGAGAGGTTCAACAGAGTCCCGCCCCCCTTTTGCTTATTACATTACAGGTCATTTTTATCCAAAGCGACTCACGTTGTCTTTTTAACCCATGACTTTCACATTTTAGCCCGGGGAGCAATCAGGCGTCAGGTGTCTTGCTCAGGGACACTTTGACATTGTCAGGGATGCGGGTGGGAGGCAGGACTCAAACGCAGACTTTGCGGGAAACAAAAGGACTTTAATAGTCAAAAAGCCGAAGAACACAGGAACCAAGGGAAGAACAGCTGGCAGGAAAACTAAGCACCTCCACAACAAGAGACAAGCACATGCGTGACGAAAGACAATGACGCGACAAGTGACACAGGAGACACACGGCTTAAATACACAAGGGAGGTGCAGGTGATTGGACACAGGTGGAAACTATTAAGACGATCACAGGGGATGGCGGGACAAGGCAGGAAGTGAAGTTACCCGGGGACACGAGTGGCAGAAAACTACAAAATACAACAGGAAGTGAACCACACTGTGACAGACATGTAACATGGAGCAGCCGGGGCTCAAACTGCCAACCTTACGGCTCCCTGCACATAGGTTAGGCGCACCCTCTCTACTCCATGTGCCCCCGTCGACCCATTTTACACATTACATGTAATATTACATCCACAAGAGATTACCAGGTGAGTTACATGTGTCGTGGTGTGCTGTGCACTTTGTGTTATTCATCTATGAAGCTGATCCGTGTGTATAATACATTTCTTTCAAGCGTCAGTAGAGATTAACAAAGATACAGATCACGCCACTACGACAGAAATTCAAGATTAAAAAACAATCCTCCCGTCAAGGAGTTTTATTACCTAAAAGGGTTAAAGAAAAACTCTTTTCGCAAGGGCCAGAAAATACTTGAAGGACGAGCATTTCTTTGCCCACATAATCGCCTAAACTGCGGTTGAGTTCTTTATTTATGATGTGAGGGGTGATGAACGAGCTAATTGAATTCCTTCAACTAAATCGTAGTTTGTGCTGCATTGCACTTGGAAACATAGAGAACTGATGTCTTGTATGTTTTCTCTAAACATCATCATGTTGCTTTTTGAAAGAATAAAATTGTGACCGATAGTCTGGTTTCAGGCCACCGGATAACTACGAACTTTATTTATAGATTCCTCTTATGACTAATCAAAGGGTGGTGGGTGAGTGAAAAGGAAGAAGTCAATAAGCGATAACACAATATATCTATTAGTGTGTGTGTGTGTGTGTGGGGGGGGGGGGGGGGGTTGTGTGTGTGTGCATTTGATGATGCCGGTGATGACACACCTTGCGGTTGTTTTCTACACGTCGGAATGAAATTTCACCGCCGATTTCACACACGAACAAACCCACACATAAAGATTAGTGTTACTATTGGACGTGAGCTCATCTGACTCCTGGCAGGTTTGCATGATTAACCAAACACATAATTGACTTAAAGCCTGAACAAACCAGTAAGACAGCCGGTGGAAGTCAAGGGGAAAGTGAATGTGAAAGAGATAACTGGACTAACTGGGTCTTTTGAGGATCTATAAGAAAAAGCCCAAACACTTTTGGGTTTGATCTCGAGTTAAAAAAAGTCGGGGGGAAAAAAATGAAATGAGGAAACGGGGACAGAGATAAGTGTTGAGATGCATCCTCTTTCTGTATGAAACAGAAAGTCAGAAGTTTTGCTTCAATTCTGTTTTTACTTTTAGACAAGTAACATTTCTACTTGAACATCTCTTTTCTCTTTTCCATTCTTCTTTCATTGTAGATGTAACCTCAGTTAACATGACTTGAAATATCTGTATATTATGGGTATTACATTGTAAGTCACAGTAGATAACTAACTTTAGGAGTTTATGATTACCACAAGTCTTTTTTAATTGTCATGAAACCCAGATATTCTTTTTGACACCCACACATGAAACTGTCCTCATATTTCAACGACAGATTGACCCTCAAAATGTCCATAAAGTTTCTTTTAATTGCCAAATATGGGCGGTTAAACCAAACCGTTACCAGAATGGGTGATGAACAGGTGAATTGTTTACAGACTCCACACATTTTTGTGGCATTTCAAAACATCTCATCCGACCGCTAATTGCGGGTGCAGCTGTGGATTCATGCACCCCCTATGTGTCTGAGACTTTGGGTCTGTCCCATTGTGTGCACAGTATTTGTGTTTGTGCATGAATGTCTGTGTCTCTCTGTGTGTGTGTGTCTGTGGTTGAGTTACAACACTTTGCATTTTCTTCAAAAAGTAGAGATCAACCACTTTCCCTTGAAACCACTGCTCCCATTGGGTTCCACTCTCTGGCAAAACTCCACCTACATTCTGTGACTTTTTTTTCCTTCCTCCTTCCTTTCTGTGCTCATAGCTCTGTCTCCGCTTACAGAGTGACATCACTGGAGTTTCCCCTTTGCAGAATCAGCTGCAACTGCATATATACTACAAGCTCTCTGCCAGGAGTTCACTCAATAGCAACACAAAGAGAGAGAGAGACAGCGAGCACTGGAAGCACCTGAAGACTCACACGCGGCATCCACTGTTTATTTGGTAGATTCTTTTCTTTTTCTAAACGGCACTCAGGACTCTTCAGATTGTGTTCAGCATGGTGTCCCACACGACAGCACCAGGGGACGTGGAGAGGGGTCTCGACGAGAGGATGGTGGTTTTGGTGGAAAAGAAGCCCTCCGCCGGGCGGCTATGCAAGATGTCCGTGGCCATCCTGGTCGTGGCCCTTTGCCTGGGGGGCATCCTGCTGCTTGCTTGGTTCTGGCCAGGTTTAAAGGTAGGAACGGCTTTTCCTCGTTTCATCTTCATCATTGTGTCTTTTTTTTTGCCAAAACAGAACATTTCTGAATGAACGCGTTTTCTTCTCTCCAGAAGCAATCAGGACAAACAGAATCAGGACAAACAGAAGCGATGCTCCAGACTAAGAGTGCTGAGAAAACAGGTGATTACACGTCATGTCAAGAAAGATGCTTTGCTTGAGTTATGCTGTGAGGATATTTCACAGAGGCTTACATTTGTCTTCTTCTCCTCAGATCATCACTCTACGTTGAGGCAAATCAGCAGCAAAGCCAAGGCAGCCATCCATTTAGAAGGTGAGTCATTTGGTCCTCAGCCAACGTGGTGCTCATGATCTCAGCGTTCAATGGAGACCCCCCTCTTATCCCCCTTGTGGGATATTTGCATCTTCGGTCGCTCTGTCGGAACATCTTTTCATTACCCCTTTCCTTATGTCATACCTGTCAATTATCCCGTGGAGACCAGAACCAGAAGTGTTTCAAGTCTCTAACGGCGCTTCTCCTTATCTCTTCGTTTCCAGGCAACTACGAAGAAGACGACGATGGCTCCCAGGGGAGGCTGGAGTGGAAAAGCGGTCAAGGCCAGGCGTTCGCTCAGGGCGGCTTCCGGCTGGAGGGCAACAAGATCGTTATCCCGCACACCGGCCTCTACTTCGTCTACAGCCAGTCGTCCTTCAGGGTGTCCTGCGGCGACGGCGACGAGGAGGGGGCGGGACAAAGCCACGTGCCTCTCAGCCACCGGGTCTGGCGCTACACGAACTCCCTGGGCAAGGAGGCCTCCCTGATGAACGCCGTGAGGTCGGCGTGTCAGAACGCGCCGCAGGAGGACGGCTTCAGGGACGGACAGGGCTGGTACAACGCCATTTATCTGGGCGCTGTGTTTAAGCTGAACAAGGGCGACCGACTGCGGACGGAGACCAACCAGCTGTCGGAGCTGGAGACCGATGACGGGAAGACTTTCTTCGGCGTGTTCGCCCTTTGAAGTGACTCCTTGGTGTGGTCGTAGCCAACACGAAGCTCTGCGCGGTGCCTTATGTTTTGTTTTGATATCATGTAGGTTCTTTATTATTAGTATTCATCTCATGGTGACGTAGAAAGGTTTAAATCTCAATGGAGATGAAGCTTTTTCGCCCAACAGGCGGTGCACATTTAAGAAATCCTATGAACTGTAACAGTTTGCAAGATTTGTTTTTTATTTTTGTATATTATTTATGCTGACATGAGATTGTAGTACTATCATTTCTGTATCAGGGACACCTGTGGAATGAACCTCTAAGTATTTATTTGTATTTATTTATATTTGAATTGTTGGAATTGATACTCGATCATATTTATATGTTTTACATGCACATGAATTTGATTAAACTGCAAAAAAAACAAAGTCACGGGAGTGTGTCAATATGGATGAACTCAGTTCAAAGCTCAGGTAACATTTAGGAAGTGTAGCCGGCAAACCAGCCAGCAGTAGCTCACACACACACACACACACACACACACACTCACACACACACACACACACACACACACACTCACACACACACACACTCACAGTGCAGCAGGTTTGGTCTCAGTATTTGGCAAAGGTTGAAATTCCTCCCCAGCCAGCAAATACTTCCTCTGTTGGATCAGACGAGGGGAATTTCCTACTTGTTGTGCTCTCGCGGAGTGCTGCGTCAGGTGGAGGCCCACAGAAGCCTCAACCCAGAGCGGGTTTTCCCCAGTGACACCCCCCACCCACCCCCTGCTAGAACACCGCCTCCGGTTTCCCTCCCACACACAACCGTTACCGCATACTTAACCTTCCGTCAGCTGGAAAGAGGCGTGCGACGGGAGGCAAGTGAGCGTGTTTTCACATTGTCATCATGCGAAAGTACACAGCACACAAAAATAGGACGCACTTAGGGGCTATTTGTCTAGTTTAGTTCCCTTTATATCCCCAAACATCTATTGTTGTGTCAGTAACGAGGTTCCTTAACTGCTGGTCGCCGTGTTGAAAACTGCTTCCCACGTGTTTAATGATCTGCCTGACTCCCTCGTGTCGAACTGGAGACAAATAACAAGTTTCATTGACAAAGATACTCAACCCGACAGGCTTAATTGCTTAAAAGGTCGTTGGGAGTCAGAAAAACAACAAATAAGTGGTGACATCTAGTGGATGATGCAATGCTGCTCTGCTGAGTGACTAACAGGATACTACGAATATTTACTACACAGGGACTATTTTAGGATCCGTTTCATGTCTATGAGTTGCTAGAATGCTGTTAAAGTTTGTAGTTTCATTGGACAAATAGGTTGGCCGACCGGAGCAGCAAAAAAAAAAAAAACAGGGTGAATAATCCAATAAATAGTTTCAAACAGAAGCTACAGTTCCGGTTTTGCTTCTTATTGTTACTAATGTGAAATGTACAAATGAAAGACAAAAATAACCAATGGAAAAACAATTATTTTATTTATGATACACATATATGTGCATACACATACTCTGAAATATATTAACATTTAAGATATAGTGAATACAAATATCCCCAAATCCATGTATATTGTCATATATGTGCAAGATAGAAGTATTTCCTAATTTTTTTCTGCATTCATATGTTACACTATCTGAACAGTTAATAAAGATGCCCTATTTCATTCATGGATGTCCTCCTCTTGCCCTTGAGCTAAAATGAGAAATAATATTTATTAGAGCAACATAAAAGGGGGAGTATTGTTTGTTTAAAGTGCACGCCGGCATATCATATATCACTTATTTAAGTATTGTTTTACCTGCTGATAAAGCATCTGCTGATTTCACCTATTAAAATCTGGAAATAGCTCATGAATGAAATAGTACATTCAGATTAACTGCTGAAGAAATACAGTATGTCACATTACGTTACGCATATACTATATTTTTATACATTAACAGTTTACCCAAAAGCAAAATGGGAAAGAAAAAACACTGAAAACAAATGGCATCCATCCAGATTGTCTGTTATGAGGAAACGTAAAAAACAACAACATTCTTTTAAAATTAAAAAAGGCTCACGAGAATGACGTGTAACAGATTCACGAGTGTAAAAGCTGTGCTTTCTCTGAATATATCCACAGGAAAAGCCATCGCAGAAGCCCCACATCTCAACCCGCCGCTGCTGTAGAAATATAAATTGGCTTTAATTTCCAAGAGGCAGAAAGTACAAACTATTCTTCTGGCGAGTTGGAAGCTTCCCCTATAAAATGTGAGAATCAGCAGTAGCCTGCGATGCGGAAGATGCAGGCCGAGGTCTTTCCGATGGCTGCAACTGTCGAACACCACATGGCCAAAATGTTTCCCTATACATGAGCAAGCTTGTATCCCTTTCTCCTTTATAGTGGGTCTAGTATTTAGAAGAGGACGGGATTATTTTTCAGTGTTGTGGGTAAATACACAGTCTTGAAAACAGAGATCCATACATGGCTGTTCAATAATGCACATTGTTAAGATTTCCTTTGGGTAAATAACCGTTCAGTGCTTTCTCCCTTTTGTAAATTCCATTTTTCACGACTCTCCTCAAGAAAAAGTCAACAAATAATTTGAACAACAACTCAAAACATGACGAAACAGATCGGATATTACACAACAATATTAATCACTACCGCATGTGCTTTAGTCAACAAACTGGCGAGAGGCAGAAAGGTGGAGACGATATAGCAAAGACGCAAACACTAATGTTCCCTCCACTCGGTGTCTCCACAACAGAACGAGATAACGAATGAGGGAGGGGGGGTGACGGCGAGATCTACCTCTGGCTGGCGGGGGGAGGGGGGGCTGAGCAGAGGACGGTTGTTTGCCCGCGCGACTCCCGCCCCCCCGGGGTGCGTAAAAGCACTCCCGCGTACAGATTTGTGCTTGAAAGTCACAGTGTCTCATTGTGTCGTGTGTCCCCCGTGAGTGTGTTTTGTGCGACCCTCCCTTCCCTCCCTCCCCCACCTCTCCCGGCGCCTCGCCTATTTGTACAGCAGTGGGATCTGGCTGTTGTGACAGTGGTTGCGGCTCATCTTGCTGTCGGCCGGGTAGAGGGTGGAGGAGTTTGAGAAGGAGGGCGGCAGGGGGTGATTGTCCGCGGTGGGGTTCGGGTAGCCCGGCGGCGGCAGCAGAGACTTGGGATCCGGCGGCTGGGTGGAGGGCGGCGGGGTGTTGTGGTTCTGGTTCTGGCCCGAGGAGGGCTGGCGGCGGTTGCGCAGGGCCTGGCGCTCAGCCAGCTGGTTGCGGAGCGCCGAGACCCGCTCTTCTTTCTGAAAAGCACAACGTGAGGAGAGAGAGAGAGAGAGAGAGAGACAGAGAGATTGTCGCAGAGGTCACACGTGCCCCCCCCCCCCCCATCACTCCGTTAGCGCTTGTTAGCATGTGTAGCACTAATGGATCGCTATTAATTACTGCAGCAGAAACAGCAAACCCGTTGCCAATGCAAGGCTTAACAAGGAATAAAGTTTGTTGGGAATTTCCTCTTGCAAACATTTCCAATCCTTTTCAATTCCACATTATCAATTGACGGAGCAGCTCGTCCATGTCGTTATTGAATAAAAGAGGGAAGCTTCTCAACACGTTTCCATATCTGTCAAAGCAAATCAAAGAAAACCTCAAAAATATAAAAAGCAATACATAAAGTAATGATTGCACAGGTCTGTGTTCATGCCTCTACTTGTAAGTCACAACACTGTGTGTGATTCTCTCACATAAAGCCGCATTCTGCAATATCTCTACCATCAAATATACACATAATATATAATGTAAAATAAAGCAGCAAGTATAGTAAAATAAATATGATAAATACATTTCATTAGAGGTGTTACTCTCAACCCATAGTTAGCATTCATTAGCATTTTAATAGCATTCTCACACCTAATGGATTGGAATGACTTGGTGATATTTGTACGTCTGGCCTCTGGACATGCCTGTTACACAATAACACAATAACGTTTTCACCTCCTGGATGATCTTTTGCAGCTCCCTGTTCTCCCTCTCCAGCTGCCGGGACTTCTCCTCGTCGTTGTTGTTGGTGGACGAGCCGGTCTTCAGGGTGTCCTGCTGCTCCGACTGCCACTCGCCGCGCGTGATGAGGCGCCGCATCTGGAGGGGAGCCGCGGGAACAAGAGAGTCAGCGAAGGACGTGCGGCGTGCCGATGAGAGTCACGCATCTCACGAGAACACTTCATTTTCATACTTTGAGCCACATCGCTCACACTTTGAAGCTTATCTTGGGCAAAATCTTCGGGGCTCAGCGCTCACTGCTGCGCTCGGGGAAAAAAAAACAGCCCGACAACCAAACAGTGGGGAGGATGCTGTCAGGTCTGTTTTTTTTCTCCTTGGATCTTGTAGTTATGTACTTTGAACCTCTGTAGGTGGCACTCTTTCCTCTGTCTGCACATTCTGCAGCAGTGCTTATACCCAGATCGTCCTCCGTTTATTCCAAACAAATCCCTGTAGCCGCTGCCAGACACTTCTCATGTCTCACTCTGTTTGTGCCAGAAGATTTCCTTTCCCAACACCGAATGTTTTACGCGGCTACACATCTCAAAGTGTCCTCAGTCACAGTTTAATGACGAAGCAACGGTGGAAACAGATTTAAGGTTTCATCATTTAAGTAGCTGTCCCGATTTGATGGCAAAGACGCGCCGATATCGCGTCGCCCTCAAAAAAAAAACACACAGAAAATATCAGAGCTAAAGTTGCCGACGGTTCTGATTTACAGGCACTAGGTGGTACCTTCTCCCTAAAGGCCGTCACGCTTTGCCCTTAGATTTTGCTGCAAAACGAGCAGGCTTTTCAGCGTGCGCAGCGTTTCTTAGAGGTGTCGGGGGACGAGTCGGAGCACCTTGGGTACGAAGAGCACCACCAGGGTGATGTAGGCAGAGAAGACGACCGCTAGAGCAGCAAAGGCAAAGGAGGCGTCCTGCTGCGATGACAGGATCATGGTCACCGGAGCCGTGATCAGACACAGCACCTGCAGGAGAAAGGGCAAAAACGGGGGAGAAGGAGGAGTTTTTAATAGTAGAGAGAAAGACGGGCGACGAGGGGAAATAAGAGGCGAAAAGGTGGAGAATGAGAGGGGAGGAAAAGCACATCCATAAAAGCATTAGGCATCTGTTTATCATTCCGCTGAGGGCTCCCATGTGAAAACAGCATTAAAAAGTCATGACTGAAGTGGCAACAGCGCGCTGACAATCACCACATTGTCATCTCATCAGGGCCTGGAGCTCACAGCTCAGCAGAGACAAAGGAGGTCTCTTCACAGACACCATTAACTATTGACATCACCATAAAACTGAAATATGTATATCAGAACATGAAATAATAACAAGACTCGCTTTATGGAACCATGCGATGAAATGAGCGCGCGAGCCGCATTAAATGCTCTCATATATAACCATGAATGATAAATCCTCTCCCCGGACAAGAGGACACGAGACAAATGCATTTAATAACCAAGCAGAAGTTGATCAATGCTTGTGATGATGCTCTATGTTTCAATGGTTAATGGGAATCAAGACGAGTGCAGGAAATCCTGGAAAAAAAGTATTTATAACAATGTTCCCGCCGTTTGATCGAAGCGGGAGAAGCCGGTCGGGCGGTTAAAGTGACAGAAAGCGCTTTCCTCCGACATTTGACATCAATTAGAAAGTTACGCGGTGTCGTGCGTGTCAGGGAACGGCCGTGAGTGTTTGTCTAGAGTGGCTGCAGTGAACGTAATGGCAGCTATTCCAGTGCAGAGAGCATCCCAGGTGCCTCCGCTTAAAATGATTCACCTGCTATTAAAAAGAGCTGAAAAATGTTTATGACTGATGGCTGGATTTTACCACTGGACTTTAGCTAAATGGGTACAATTTGAAACCTATTCCCAACACGAGGCAACAGCGCCATACATCTACACACACATCTATATATATATATATACAAAGTATATGTGTATGCACCGTTTTTATTTGTCCAATGTCCAATATACTTTAGCAATAAATTCTCCTGATATAAATAATTGATATACATGTGTTTTGCAATGTATGCTTGGGTTGCATTCGATTGCAGCACAGTGAATGTTTTGTGATGAACCCTTTCGCATTTTATTGATTTCATTTAGCGTTTACTTCACTACGAAGTCCCATTGGGTACACATTCTCATTTTTATAAAGGAGACCTGGGATATGATTGTTTGTATCACCACAGGCCACATAAGCAATCAAAATGCATGATTCATGGCAGGCAGCAGCCCGTGCTGGCAGTATTATCACTTGGACAGAACCGCGTCCAGGGATCTGCTTTTCAAAGAATCAAATCTCGTGGTGAACTTGTGGAAAAGCTTGAATACTTAATTTATTCATGAGCCTGTTTCTGCGTCTCGTATTGCTCCCGCCGATCATCATACTAACATGTACTTTTCTGCATTTCATACCAGATTATAAATCCGTCATGTTAGGCACAACCCAACGGTCCTTCTGAAAGGAAATATTATTCAGTCGGCCCACAGTGGATGATTTCTGAAGATACAAAAAGGGGAATCCAAAACCTTGAACTTGCAACTAAAAAATAAGTTGAATTCTAACAGTTAATTGTAGCTGCACAGGAAGTATTTCAGTTTAATGTCTTCTTGTTACTTTCAGTCAGTCATCCTCAAACGAGGAAAGCAAACAAGCCTCGAGGGTGCATTAAGTTATCTATGAACTCCGTTGACTTTTACAAACAACCAGCAGGAGCTGCAAAGAGCTGCTGCAGCTGGAACGTCTCGACACACTGGTCAGGTGACTGCTTCGCTCTGAAATGAGACGGAAAGTGGCTTCTGAAAGTCCAAAAGCTGAGCACCAGGCAAAGTAATTTCAAGGAGACCCCGGTATTGATTTACCCCCCGCCCTCCCCAAAGATATACTACAGCCATTATGTACAGTGAGGCAATATAAATCCTATTTATTGCCACTTTAAAGGCATTCAGCATGCTATGCTCTTAGCAAACAGCAGCCCCCAGCAACAGGAATTGAGGCTTTTTTTTTTACAATCTTACTCACAGCGACGTTGTAAATAGCCATCCCCACGGCCCGGTGGTCGTTGATCTTTTCGGTGGAGACGGACTTGGTCTCGTATGCCAGAAATATTCCCAGCAGCAGCAGCAGACCCTTGTAGCCATAAACCACCCCTACAGAAAGAGGGGGGGGGCAGAGTATGATGTGAGTACGGCGCCCATTTAGAGAACGCAGAACCTAATACACAGTATTGTGTGGAAAAATGGAGGCCAAACGATCCGTTTATATATGAAAGAAATCCATGAAAATAACTAAACTACATATTTGTATAAATAACTATAGTTGGTTGTGTTGTTATTCTACACGACAGCCTACGATTTAAGCTTTTCCTTTTATTAAATCAACATAATATTTGACCCCGTATTTGTAACCCAGATACTGTGTTGAATCAAACGAGTTACAGTATAATATTAACCCTGCGTGAGCATAATAATCTCAGCCCCCCTGAATATTTACAGACACACACCTGTTATAAGATGAAGGCATCAAAGATCCAACCAAAAACTTAGTAAGTTTAAAGTTTAAAAATAAAGTGCCGATTGCTTTAATGTGCCAAAAAGCCGGTTAGAAATAACAAATAAGTGAAGGGGGGAGAGAGAGAAGCAGAGGAGAAAAGAGCCTCTGTGACCGAGTGAGTTTGACACTTCTTCAGACTGTCCATTGTGCATTTACACCGCTTGATATTAACGCGCCATCTTTTCTCCTCTGAGGAAGGAAATGCTACGGGGCAATGGCCCAGTTTGTGACCCACATTATTTGAATTTCACCACCATTATACTTTCATAAGAGCTAAGAGACACAGACAGACCGGGAGAGAGGAATCAAACGTAGAGGAGGGGGGGGGGGAGGCTATGATACGAGGCCTGTTTAATTCAGAGTGAATGGTGGTGACGTGTGTGTGTGTGTCTCTGTGTGTGTGTCTCTGTGTGTGTGTGTGCGAGTGCGCGCATATGTGTCCGCATATGCCCAATGTGAGTGATAAAGATTATTCAAAACCAGAGCAGGGCAAAGAGTGATAAAGCGACAGATTGAGAAACAAGAGGGTAAAAAAAAGAGACGGAGAAGACGGATACCGAGCCACGTGTTCATCTTCTCTGAGCTGCAGTGCTCCAGCAAGGGCTGAATCAGGACATCCAAATCCTCTTTAGGGGCCTCCTTAGTGAACTTCTACTCGCACGGCAGGCAGAGGAGGAGAGATGGAGGGAGGAGGAGATAGAAGTGGGGAGAGTACAATTAGAAACGACGAGAAAGCAGCACAAGCCCCGGTGACCGCACGGGTGATCAACTGCGTCTGTGCCGTATGTCAGATACAGATGACTCAATTAAAATTGCTCACAGATAAACATCCAAAAAATATATTTAAATATAGAGTTATTTAAGCAGAAGGCCTGACAGTAGTTAAAGCGCTGTGCAGATTTGGGCTGATGATGACGTGAAGCCTTGAATACTATACATTAATGTCCGGGTTATGTGCATTATGTACACAGGTTTAACTCTGTTTTGGTCTCCACCAGCAGAGGAACAAGTCTCGTTTTGCAGTTGCCAGATTTTCAATTTTCAAACTAACTTTTTCGGTCTACCCCTTTGGGGCTCGGCAGGGAGCGTACAGTTAATCTAAATGCAAATTGTTGCATTCAAACTAAAAAGCTCCAAAACCGTAGAAACTGAACACTGCATCTTCAAAGTTTATTTTGTGTCTTTATAAATGTTCAGATATTTTGATTTTGATCCAATTAAGTTCAAATGGAGTTGATTTTGACCAGCGGATGTTTCATTTAACAGGAACCAACGTTTCCTGTCCCAACAGCGACGACATGCAGGTCGATGACAGCTGCTCGAAATGAACTACACCGTAAACGTGCTGTAAAACCAAAACAATGATCTATCCAAGAAACTAAAATGCATCACAGAGCCGTTTGGCAGTTGTGTGTGCTTAACATAATGAAGAAGGTTTAATGAAGTCAAACGTTTTGACAATAATTGTTTTATGAGGCCGGAACCGTACCATGTTTGTTTGGCTGCTCGATGAATGATTTTTCTTTACAATAAATGCCACAAGGTACCTTTAACAGTGCTGAAAGTGTTTGACACTGTCAAACAAAGGCAAATATTTTCAATTATTCCGGTCCTAAATGTCTCTGTTGGGACGCCGCTGTTCGGCTGCGCTATTTGACATCCATTCTTATTCTCCATTGTGCTCTTTCAGTGCGACATAAATCAAAATGAAAGAACATTTTATTTATTTTTTCTCATTTAGCAATTGCGGTGTCTCATTGCTGCGCTACCGACCCGCGGCGGCGGCGGCTACGCGGTCCGTGCACACAGGTGATGACACGGGAATGATGTCATCCGTCTTACCTCCACCGTAATGTGCAGAGGATCCACGATCTGCCAGATCATGAGTGACAGGAAGTCGATGGCCAGCAGCACCCCAACTGTTGCGTAGAGTTTCCACGGCTCCAAGTGTTGCTGTGAAAGCAGAGACACCGCACGCACACACAGACACACGCACACACACACACACACGCACAACAGTCATCACTATCCAAGGGCAACACCAGCCAGTCCACTAACAAAGACAAACAACCAGGACAAATAACTCGACAGGCGTCCTTGTGATTTCTGGATGACTGGGCGCGAATTGTCTTTCTGGATGTGTGTCTCTGGGTGTGTGAACAAGCGTGTGTGTGTCCAAGTATATTTCAGAATCAGGAGGAGTGTGTGTGTGTGTCGACACAGCAGCAGCATCATTTGGGCTGCCACCTGAAATTGTCATTTATACACAGTGAGATGACACTGCTTTTTGTGTGGGTAGTTTCCTTGGCCGGCTGATTTAAACTCTATCGTTCTTAACTTAACCTATAATGGAAGCAATGCGGCCGTAACCGAAAAAACAAGTCCCTGAAATGAGCTGTCCCACTGCGCCGCCTCCTCTCTCTAACTCCAACTTGCTAACGGGCGTTCAAGCGCGCAATGACTGAAACTGAGGAAATAAAATAAAGACGAAAACACATTACACAGTCCTGGGCGCCTCTTCACTTGAGTTGCATGAAAAATGATTTGAAAAGCGCTCATTCTCCCCTCAATTCCTGAAAGTTTCTTTAAACACTAACGCAGAGCTCTCTGGAAAATTGCCCTTCTGTGGACGCGCAGAGAGTTGAAAGTCACCCCGATTCGTTGTGCTTTGGCTCAAATAATAAACCCCCCCGAAGGTTGGATTTCTGCATGGAACTTTAATACTCATCCATATTCATAAATATTGTAGAAATGGCTTAATCTTATATTCTTCTGATTAGGTCTAAATTCCCACAACACATCGCAAACTTGCAGTATCTTGCTGGCACCAGGATGCACTTTCTCAAGAGGAGGCTCACACACACACACACACACACACACACACACACACCAGCATATGCATAAATGTTGCATGTGTGTAGACGCATGTGCTTTGCGTGTGCATTACACATACGTGTAGAGCGTGCTGCTCTCTCTCAACCTTGCGGTGGTGAATGATGTCGAGCTGCTGTCTCAGAAGCTTATTTCACAAGGAAGCCTGGAAAGTTTAGAACTGTACTTTTTATCAGCCGGAGCCACACGCGCCGGGCGGCCCGGCCTCCGCCTCCCAGCCGCTCTCCTCTCTCCCGAGACCGCTGAGAGGCTTATGCTCCCCCCCCTCCCCCCTCACTCCCTCCGTCCCTCCCTACCTTCTTCTTCTCCTTCTTTTCGTCCTTCTTTGTGAAGAGGGTGTGGACCCACCAGATCTTGGTGAACATGCTCCCGTACGCCAGGCTGAAGCCGAGGCCGAGGAGCCACAGGCGGAACTGGAAGTGGGCAGAGAGTTTTTAATTAGTACTTTACGCATCATTTAGTCAAGGGTGCAGGTCTACTTTCAGAAGTGGCACAATTTAACTAAATATATATATAATTGAATTTTAATCATTTGAGAGTAATTGTATGTTTTACATATAAATTAAATCAAGCAATTATGAAATTAATTAACATTGGTTATATCATTTTCCAAAACATTAGTCAAATATACAAACATATTATTTATGCAGTATTCCTCCTTTACTGTTTCCTGTAAAAAAAATATAGATCAGATGATGATTGTTTTGTCATCCTTAAAGGAAAAGAGCATGAAGAGGAGGTGGAAGTGCTTTTTCTATACGTATTTTATTGCTTGTAGAGATTTAGACAGAGAGACAGATAGGTAGGTGCGTAGATTGGTACATAGATAGTTAGATAGATAGGTAGGTAGATAGATAGGTAGGTAGATTGATAGGTATGTAGATTAATAGGTAAATTGGTACATAGATAAGAAGGTAGACAGGTAGGTAGTGAGGTAGAGTGATGGGTAGATTGGTACATAGGTAGATAGATTGGTAGATAGGTAGGTAAATTGATACATGGGTAAGTAGGTAGATAGGTAGGTACATTCATAGGTAAATTGGTAGATTGATACATAGGTAGATTGGTAGGGAGGTAGCGTGATGGGTAGATTGGTACATAGATAGGTAGGTAGATTGGTAGCTAGATTGGTAGGGAGGTAGAGTGATGGGTAGATTGGTAGATAGATAGGTAGGTAGATTGGTAGGGAGGTAGAGTGATGGGTAGATTGGTAGATAGATAGGTAGGTAGATTGATAGCTAGATTGGTAGGGAGGTAGATTGATAGATATGTAGGTAGATCTACAATATAATAATATATATGTTTAATGAAATGGAGAGGTTGGAGCAGAAACATAAACCTATCCATAGGAGAAGGTCAGGGGCAGAGTGCGATAGAGGCATGACCATGGGAGAGAATAACTGGACAGGGACAAAGAGAAGAGACACGACAGAAATGGAAATTTCCCTCTCGCCTGGCGACAGAGAGACTCAACACGGGTGACAGAGGAAGGAGTCCCACTCCTCATTAGTGATCCCGTCGTCTGTGCTATTCTGGCACCCGGCAAATCATGTCTGTGCCGCAGCATACCGAAACAAATCCGAGAGGAGGTAAATGAAGTATAATATGTGATATCAACGATTGAAAGTAGGTTTGTCGCTTCATAAATGGAAATATAGAGTTTGAAGTTAGCAATGAGTAATATTGCGTGTTTTATCAAGTAGATATTACACTGACACGAGAGACAAACCAGATCGGCTTTCCTGCTCCCGTCTCTTCACACGTAGCTTATTAATCAGCTCGTTGAACGAGCGGCCTAACAAACATTTACCGGTGAAAAGTGCTGTGCCAACAATAGTCATCTAATATCTGCAGCTTATTAAAAAACATATATGCAAATATCCCTTCAATCCGTTTAAATACGTCGTCTAACAGCCCGTTGTGTACCTTACATACTTATAACCTACTATCAACAATACACATAAAACATGTATCATAAATTCATTTTGTTAATGTAATCTCAGTTTGTCCATGGGGGGGTGTTATACAGTGAGACAGGAGGTCTATAATATCAATTTACTTTTAACTATTATTTATAAAAAGGTAAAGAAGAACAAATGCCTGAAAACGTAATAAATCTAAATTACATTTCTTCTACTCCTCCTACGAGCTAAAAGGACTGTTTCGGCATCGTATGGATGAAATCCAAACATCTGAAGTCTCTTTCTCACCTGGCAGACGACGGGGAACTGAGACCTGTGGACGTGGTGGCCGTCGATCCCCAGCGGGAACACGGCGGCCAGAGCCATCATGCAGCCCACGGCCGTCATGTTGTTCAGGTACGGCTGAGAGTTCTGGATGTAGCTGATTCACACAAGAGAACCAAAAAGAAAAAACATCAAGGAGGAGAAAACACCGGCAGTTATGATTCCTGCTTTGATTTGAATCTGCAGGTAATTAAGGCGTCGTTGCGACGAAGGGCCCTTCCGCCTGCTCTTAGAACTCGTGCTGATTGTTACATTCTCTCGTGTTGTTTCTGAATGCACGACGTGGCGCCAATGTTTCCTGATTCAGACAATCTGGTGGACTTAAAACGTCAAAATGTGGCTGAGTTTTGCTGGGCATCTCCTTTCCCGTGCGGTTGACAGTCATAAGCCTGATTAGCATCAAGCGCTACACAATTATATGTGGAATGAACAGTTCGTCCCATTAGAGGTTGACGCAAATAAAAAAAGAAATTCTGGAAATTTGTGAAAAAGCAAACTGAGCTGGAATATGCGTTAATAAAGGAAGCAGGAAAGTTAATTTTTGCCTGGATTTCCCATGAAGTGTTTAATGGTAACTATACTTGAAAACCTATAATAAAAACATTTTGGTGGCAGGAAAAAACTAACCGGCTTGTAGATCATCCAAGAGATCTAAAAACCTGCACAGAAAAAAACTGCATACTTCTGTAATTTGTGTGAAGCAGTAGTGAAAAAACGACATAAACAGGCTTTTTGAAAGGCTGCACAGATTCATTTAGTGCGTCTTGAGCTCCTGATCCAAATGTCTCTGCCTACATCTCTGACAGCAGATGAAAGTTTTTTAAACGCGGTGACTGCACTAAAGCGCGGCCGTGGTAATCATGTACGGTTTGCTCCGCGCGGAGGTTCAGACAGGAGCTTAAAGGAGAATGAAGCGAAGAGTTATTTCCCATTAAAGCGAGAATAAGTCCAGTGATTTCCAATCGTGAAAACAAGTGTTCAAATTCTATGTGTTAGTAAAATAACTCATTCAGTACAATATTTCTGGTCAGTGTTTCACTTATGAGGTTTTTGGATTCACTTTACTGCTCCAGATGTTACTGGCATGCTATTTAAACTATAGCTAGAGAAAAGAAATTAATATTTCATCATAAACACTTAAATAAAATATCAAGATACGTGGTTTTAATGTCACAGGGAGAGTATAAAACCATGTAAATAATGTCAGATGAATGCGAGATGTCTTGGAGTAGAAGTATAAAGTGGCATAAAATAGAAGAAAGCCCCTCAGAATGCTACTTGAGTAAAAGCATATTCCACCGCTACTGATTTCCATCTTGTGTTTCTATAATTAGAGACATTCTCAGCGATGTCACGCTCTCAAAAACTTTTAAGACGGGTGTGTTTGATATCATCTGCATTCCTACCCCACCCACCCTCCTCCCCCCTCTCCCTCCCCCCTGCACAGCATCTCTCCCCTGCAGCAGGAGGCGAGTGTGTTTCCTCTCATTCTGTTGGCCGGCCCTTTCGTCGCCTCGAGGTCGCGCAGCTTATTTACCCTGCGGCCGCCGCACACTCTGAACGCACACACTGGGGCCAATTCATACCTCTGAAGAAAGAAGAAAAGAAAACACCTCTAATGCAGGTCGGCGGCGTGAACATGTGATGCTCCGTGTGACTTTCTGCTGTGGAGTGCCGCTCCACTTTTTTATCTCGCGGTGTGTTCGGCACAGCTCGCTTTAAATCAAGGCTACTATCAGAAGAAGAAAACATGTCTCTTTCATGTGCACGCCTCACTGAATTATTGAGGAAGAGTTTGGATAAAAATAACTTCTTGTGTGGTTTTTAAGGGACCGAAATCTGATGTTTGCTGTTGATGTTTTAGATCACAGGCAGATATTCTGTGCCAAACTTGACTGTGGCTTCTAACATCAGAAAACAGTTATTCAATCTCTCAAATAAGTGATTTATTTTCCCACACGCAGTGGAAAGTGGAAACATGTTGTTAGTGCCGCATTGACGTTGTACAACTTGTACCATCAATAAGTTGTTTATCCTGAACATTCTATTGAATTTAGTCGGTGGTCAATGATTTGCAAACGAGTTTGGCATTTTGAAGGCTTGAGCCACGTGATTAAGGCCGCATACGCGTGCTTACATTGTTTCCTGAGGTAATAAATCAAGTGAGTGGGGCCGTTTTCTTCAACACAGACTCCCTGATGGCCATTAGGAAGAACGTCAGTTTAAGGCACAAATTGGCTTCACTTTTTAGATAGCGGGCGTTTGCTAAATCATCACATCCAGCAATTATCATCATGTTTTGAGTCGTGCGCGCTGATACCTGATGAATGTTAGTCAACTATTCACTCTTTTGGCTTCGTCTTTGCTCTCTACCAACGCTCGATGAGAATATCGGTCATTTCGGCCGCTAATTGCTCCGCAACGTTCCATCATCTGGGTGTTAAATGTGCCTCTCTGATGCCCAGCAGCTAGTGCACGGTTGTGTGTTTAGAAAATGAAGGCATGTGGATAATCCCTATGATAAAAACATTACATTTACGGACCGGGCCGGCAAAATAATGAGCTGCAACTATTATAAAGCCAGCGGGAGCTAGAAAGGTACTCTGAAAAGGGTTACAACACATTTTTAGCGATGGCGCCGGCAGCACTGTGGCAGCCGCCAACGGGCAACGAGGCGCTTCAACCCGAGAGGCCGCGGTCGAATGAGCGCCTCCGGGGGAACCAATGTCTGGAAGCATCACTCCTGGAAAGCAGTTAACGTTTCCTGGAATGTCACGACCCTGAAGATAAACTAATGACGTTTTTAAAAGGATCGCTTCTTTCAGACTGCGATGATGGACACTTTCTTTGTATTTAAAAGTAGTTTGGGTATTTTTTTTTGCCTCCTAACAGTTGGTGGTGAACTCATTTTGTAAAAGAAGCTTAACATGATTTGATTCGACTCGTAGTGGTTTGGCTGCTGAGATCAGCCTTCGGTGAGACTGTGTTTGAAATATAATCTCAGCTGGAAGAAGGCCCGTTAGCCGTTAGCCCAAGATCCCCGAAGGAAAAACCTCTGCAGCTTCAAGAAAACTCCCGATAAGCTGCTGGATTTAAGAGGACTTTCAAATCACTTTTACCCGGGTCAAACATAAATATAATGCGTTAGAAAGACATCGGAGACGTGCTGCAGCGGGTTCACAGACATGTATTAGGCTTATAAATCGACGATCAAAAGGCGTTTCTTTAAAGAAGGCTATTTGCATTTGGACTGCGGCGACGCTTAAACTGGGACAATAACACCAGCTGCTAGAATGAGCAAAGCCGCCCCCCAAATCAACAACTTCGTCCTTTAACTGGAGAAGCAGCGGTGCCGTTTCACACCAACAGAGGGAAGGATCTCTGGTGAATTATTGCTCCCTTCTTCAGTTCCCACTAACACCAACAGTCACACGTGGAGAGCGTTTCCATTCACTTATCTCATACAGGTGACCTTCATCCAACCAAACGGTGTCTTTAACCTCTGAGACCCGCATTACTTTCATCACTTAAAAAAAAAAAACTCGGGGCCTTTTTTTTTCTTCTTCTCTTTTTTTTTTGGGAGGACGACTTTATTGTCGCAATTATCTCTCAAGGACGAACATGAAGCGAAACAAAAACAGGATGACAAGATGCTGATGAAGGTGCTGATGATAAACACAAGGGCCTAAGTAACTACGGTTACTTTAATTTTCAATCCATCTGCTGATGAGTTCTTGGATCAACCGAGAAAACATCACAAAATGATGAAAAACAAATAAATATCCAATTTATTATAATTTTAGAGCAAAACAGCGACAAATTATTACATTCGAGAAGAGAACATGCGGATGGGTTAATCGCGCATACACATCTAACGCCACCGCCGGGCGCGAACTCACCGGACGTTGCCGTTGTAGATGTTGAAGGTGAGGCAGACGATGCCGAACAGGATGCCGAGGCCGGCGAAGACGGACACGGCTGCAAACAGCTTCTGGGACAAGAAGCGGTACACTTCGATGACCACGGTGCGGTCAGCGGGGGGTCCGGCGCCTGGGAGGAGGGAGCGAGACGAAGGGATGGTTTCTGGGGCCTTTTTCTTTGTTTGCGTGCATTAAAAACAGAAAACACCCAAAGGTGAATGTCGTTACCCCCCCCCTTATTGAAATAATACCCCTTCCAGTCCAGAACGACACTTCATTGCAGACGTGGTCGTGGAGCTTCATTTGACTTTTGGATGTTCTCATGTGGTACCCAGATTTAATTTCCCTAATTATTGTGGCGCGAGTCAAAACACAACTTTAATCAGCGAGAACACACAATGTGCACGTGATGATTCGCTTTGATGGTTCAAATAAAAACGTGACTTTGAGCATCTAGAGTTGTGCGTCATAATGCGCACAGAGGGGGGGGTGACACTCGTGTTGTTCTTAGGTACAATTTGTGTGCGTTTGTATTGTCGCACGAAATAAATTGTTTTAAACGCATGATCTGTTGTGACGTAAATAGAGCAGTTGGTGGAAATAAAGCTCCACCTCGACCAAGGACATTTTTAAAAGAACTGCTAGTAATACACCAATAATAATCATTAAATAATAATAAACTGTAACATTGAAAGCAGCCAGTTTTGTTGCTTGTTTGTCTGTATTTGTAGGTGACATTTTGAAAGCAGGACTTTTACTTGCAATTAAGTATTTTTACATTGTGGTATTGCCAAGTTTGGATCCAATTTAGTCAATTATAGAAAACAAATGGGATGGACATTTTAGCAGCTAGTAACAATCCATTAGATTACAAAGACAAATCACACACATATTACTAACTGAATGTGCAGAATTTACAGTTTGCCAAATTATATTATTCCCGCTGTTTGTATTTTACAACACGCGGGACGCTGGTATTGTTGTACACTCTTTTATAATCGGATTACATTATCCCAATGCTGAATTGCATCCTGTACTGAATTATTTATTAGTAAATTATTTATACCCTTTTTCCCAAACTGCAGTGCATTATTGTACACGTGTATACAGCCACGGATTAGCATCAGTGCAAGAACCCCATTAAATATTGATAATGCTGAAGCACCGAGAAGTAAAACAAACAGCCAGCTTCAACCAACGCCAATGCAATTTAATTTATACTTTATATTTATGCTGCAATGTAATGTGATCAGAAAACTCTGCTGTTGATTAAGAGTATAAAATGTGCACAAACTACATCGTTATTTATGCTTCTGTAGCTCCAAACCCAAAGGATTCCTCATTGAGGACAGTTCAGAGATGGGCAGATGGGCAGGGAGCCTCGTTTTACCCCTTAACTGCCTCCACCTATCCGTCCGTCCAAATCTGGGACGGCTGGCAGATTTCTGTGTGTGTGTGTGTGTGTGTGTGCGTGCGCGCGCCCAAAGAACGACAATATGGACTGTAACTGTATATATATGAATGCATGTACTGTGTATGTGAGCACCTAAAGAGAAAGCACGAATGCCACTGAGGGAGCATCTGAGAGGAGATGAACATGTGTGTGTTCACACAGTGTGATAAGCGTGTGTTTTTTGTGTGTGTGTGTGTGTGCGAGAGAGCGAGGGTGACAGATTGTGTGTGTGAGCGTGTCAGAGGGGAAGCAGAGCAGGAGTGTCAGCGCCGCGTGAAGCTGATGTGTCAGATGTCAGAGGAAAGTGTCAGAGCCTCGTCCCTTCGAGGGTCGCAGGGTGTCAGAACTCCCATCATGCTCTCTGTTTAGATGCTCGTCACTGCTGTCACACCACCGAGCGGCTTCTGGTTTCCTCCTGGAGTGAGGAACGACGATGGAAGCGGGTCTTAGTTCCTGTGGGGTTCATCGAAATCTTCTGTCTGAAGTAAAATCTGGGATAACCAGAAGGGACAAAATGGCCGAACTATTCCTCCCACAATGTTATTAACGCGACCTGGAGCCGGATAACCGGGCGCTTTCCCTAAAATCAACACTTCGAGTACTTTAGGGAGGTCTGATGATGCTGATTTTACAGCAGTTAATAAGAATATCCCCAAAGATCTGACAGCGTACGCAACACGTGTCAATGTGTTGAACAGGACAAATGTTCAGTGACCTGAAGTCTTGTCGTGTGTTTGTGTTTAGGACCGAAGGTGACACACAACACCAAAAAACAGCATCAACGGTTCATTGAAATTGTAACTAAAAATGTCATCTTTGGAACAGCGTGTCTGTAGTATGCAGTGTGCACGCTATAAATGTGTTGACCAAAGTCTCTCATATCTTTTTAAAGTAAAATAATATCGTTAATCTATATTTCTGTTTAAATGTTAATGTGCAATTCGACATGAAGTACACACTTATCACTATGATGAACGACAAACGAGACTATGTTAATGAATGCGTGTAAAACACAGAACACTAATAATTAATGCCGTGTGCGTGCGCGTGCATGTGAGGACTGTCATTCAGTCAATGCGTTTGCACCATCTAAACCCTCCTCCGTCCTTGATCAAGGAATCAGGACAGGGTGTTGCCATGGAGACCCATCTCTATAACAGTTGCCACAGCGATTAGAAGAAGAGCTGAGCTGAAGTGGTTGTTAGGGAGACCGTGAAGAGAGTGAGAAAGTGAGGCAGGGAGGCGCCTGGTAAACACGCAGGAAAAACAAACGGCTGGGTTAAGTTGCAAACCCCCCGGCGGGTACTGTGGAGCAAATCAAGCGCACCCCCCCCTTTCCCCGTCAAAAACAAAAATTCACCAACTTGAGTCAGCTCAAGAGAGCGGGAAATTGCTCCTCCCAACAAGTAGATGTCAGACGCGTGTGTCTTTATTTGGTAAACAGTGAAAAATGAAATGGAGCTTCGATTGATTGCGGAGAGCGAGTTGATTCCACGCAGCGGCTTCAACGCCGAGCCGACCGGGCCAACGCGGCAACCGGCCAAACCAAGGAGCCGCCTGCCGGCCCTGTGGAGGACCTGACGCCTTCACGCATACAAGGTCGCCTGTCCCTCGCCACCGATGCTGGCCTGACATCGCTGCCTCCTCTGGGTTCAGCTAAGCCACGGCGACCGACCGTTGCCCCGAAAAGCCCCCCCAAAAAATGCAGGATTGATTACTGGCACGCTGTGTCCCGGCGCAAGTGTGTCACCGCTCCGGGGAGGGGTCGGGCCAGTAAACAACCATGGAATTGGTCTCGGTGGCGGAAGGGAAAGCAGCTGTCACGGAGTTCCACAGGAGAACTACAATACGGGCAGCGGGAGACGGAGGGAAGGTTCTGGTTTGTGTGGCTTGAGCTCGAGCTTCTTCATCTGGCAGACCGGCGTGAAAGCGAAGAGGTGGGGAGGGAGGGGGAGAGGGGGGGGGGCGCAAAAGGTGAAAAAAGAAAGCTGGATGCCCGGAGTACGGCTACAGGAAGCGTGTTTATTTGGTTTGCCCCATTTACCAGCCCGGCAGCTGTGACTGTGACACACAGCTCACGGAGGCAATTAAGGTTTAAAATCCTTTTTCAAAGTGCACCATCTCTACGGTTTGCTTCCGAACTCGCACCGTCTCTCCAGATATAAACCTACAGACATCTTTAGATTGAACGCTTTCTGAGGATCCCTTTATCACCAATGTCCATCAGAAAAAGAAATGTGCTCGTTATATTCAAAAACTTGCCGTTTTTTTTAATGGTCTCAGTTTGCCAAAGTTTTTTTTTTTTTTCACACGCGCTAGAGAGGGAGAGTGCAGGTGGCTCCGTTCCGTCGAGCGGCAGCGTCCAAATAACTAGCTTCAACCCAATTAGGGGCGAGAGAAAGTCCGGCGTGATTGCATGTCATTAACGCGGCGGGGAAAGTCTAAACTGGAGCCGCACCGAGGGGGTCTGATGTCAACGTCTCCCGAAATGTGGACCCCGGTGACTCACGGGCCCTGATGGAGACGCCGTCGTGAATCTTACCTATCCAGACATCGTTGCCGAACCAGGAGAGGTTCTTCTGAGAGCTGTCGTAGTAACCGATCTTCTTGTAACTTCCTCCTAGACGAGTGCGGTGGAAAGTAAAGCAAGTAAAACAAAAGTCAGAGAGAAAGTTTAATTAGTAATGCTTGTTTAGTTCGTTTGGATGTTGGTTGAGGGAGGGAGGAGGGGGGGGGGGGGGTGACCCTGGTGCAGCACTACATCGACAGCACTGCTCTCTATTCATAAAACCACATATTAGCTTTTTCTCCATTATTCCCGTGCTTTCATATTTAATGGCATGCGTGGGTCCACAAAAGACTTGATGAACGGATAAAAGGAACGAGGGATGAAAAGGTGCATAAAGAAGGGCAAACAAAGAGGTACCGGGGAGGGGACGGGGGGGTGGAAAAGGAAGGAGGGAATAAAAGAAGCTTATGTGGCAGTCTTGACCAGGAATACTGATGAGGTCCCACAGTGATTCAGGGATGCAAGTCAGGTCGTCTCATTGTGGATGTGAAATTACCTCGACACCACAGCAGGAAATATGAGACAGAGTGTGTGAGGGGAAAGGGGCAGGATTATAAATCCTCATCCTCTAGGACGCCAACGGGAACAGAAGTAGAGAATAATCCTCAACCTTATCCTGCGCGGGGGAAAGTCATTAAGTCACTGGTGACAAATAGGATGCCATTTCCAGAGACGGCTTAAAACGGAGACTTGTGCCCAATTAGAGCGAAGCCTCGAGTCGACGCATTCCCGAATCAAAGCCTTTTGAGTGTGCAATTAAAGGATATCGGCCTCAATCGCCAGAGAATCCCGCAAACGAACCCCCCCCCCCCCCCCACCCAAAAGAAAAGAGACGCTGTGTTCTGAAATGAGCTGAAAGCAACAATGGATCCAGAGGAACACAGTCAGCTGTGATATTTGTTTTTTTCTGATGATGGAGTGACTGCGACACAACATCTGTGGGAGGCCGGTGTGGGAGTGTTTCTACCTTGCAGTTGCTCGATAAGAGTCATTGCCATCCTGGATCCCTGGGCGTCGAACACCACTTGGCCCTGAGACAAAGGGAAGGGAAGTCAGGGTTTTTTTTCTTTTTTCTACAGATGATTAAAGTGCTGCTCTGACATTTTGATAAATAAATGGATTTGTTCTTCCGCCAAGAGGTAGATGAGAAGCTTTGGAATCGGGAACAAACAGCCGGTCCGCGTGATCATTTTGTATAGTGAAGTATTATTATTGACACTTTATGGCTGTCTCTCCAGATCCAGCACCAGGATGGATGTGTTTAGTGGCCATTGCCATGCTGAAGTACGTCTCATACGGGCTGTGGATCAGTGTCTCTCCGGTATCAGCGTGTGAATAAGAGACAGTGAGTGAGCGTTGACGTGTCGCGTTAAGGGCTTTGAGTGGTCGTAACACCGAAAAACGTCCATTAACCGTAAATTGCTGCTGCAATTTTGGGAATTTATATTATTTATTACATGGATTTGTTGCAAAACACCACTTGAGAACTAATGGGAATTTTCAAATATCTTTCCAAAACATAAGAAAGAAAATTTCATGCGGGGATTTGGTTAAAAAAAAAAGTTTTAACCAGAGAATAAACCAAGGAAGGTCATGCATCCTCTGGTCGTCAGCGCCCTGGGGGAGTTCAGGAGGTTAACGTCGCACTTCGAACATTATGAGCTTCAAACACACAGAATGTGGCTGAGCTGTTGTGCTGCAGTAGATCCGACAGGCGTGACAATGTGTCCAGCGAGTGTGTGATCACAAAATTCTATTATTTCTCATTTTAGGAGACTATTTCTGTATATTCACAATGTAAATCTGATGGCCGCCTGTTTTTTATTTTCTTTCGTTCACGTACCGAAACGCCTTCGAAGGAGCTCGTGTTGAGGGCCCTGTAGATCTCCGAGGTGATGTCGTGGTTGTTGTAATTGAAATCCTCCAGTCGCCGGCCCTTGGCCTTCAGCGGCGCCACAGTCTTATTGAGGGCCAGGGCCAGAGCCCACACCGCGTCGTAGGCCAGCGGGGCCTCCTGGAACCCGCCGGTCTCCTCCGGATTCTTCCCCCCCAGACGGGACATCAGGGCGGCGATGAACTCCTGCGACGTCTGATGGACGCGGGAAAGAAAAGCTGTCACAGAGGAGTCCTCCCCCAAAGCAATGCAACGCCCGGAGAAAGGAATGAATAACATTAGACCTTCGTACGTCTATCAGAGGATCAGAGGCCCTCGTGGACTAAAAGTCTGGGCTGCTTTTGTAGGAGAGATTTTTATTGTAACGTATTTGTTTGCGTTTTATATACAGTGGCAGTTTTCTTGTAATGTTACACGAGGAAATTAGCCAAAGGGGAAATGCCGTTTCTATTTTGGCTGCTGATTTTTTCTCGCTTTTAACTAATTAAATAAGTATAATATGCTCACATTTGGGAATTAGGGTGTGAAGTTACAAAAACAAGTGTAGGATCTTAAGATGTGGCCCCAGAGCAACTCGGCCTGATCCTGCAGCGTCTCTACTGCTTTGAGAGAAACTAAATCAAACTCCAGGTGATTTTTAATTTGAATCCATCATGTTCCTTTTCTCGATGGAGGCGTTTCAGTAATTAGACGCCATCTTCCTCTGAAACGCGAGGAGACATCTGTGGTTGTAGATTATTACCACCAGTCATCAAGGCGTCCCTGTGGATTCTCTGAGGCCGCTCGTCCCCCAATTCAGTCTCGTCAAATCCGTCTCATTGAAATTCCACCTTGGCATTTGGCATTTAAATCTGCCCCCCACCTCCCGAACACAAGCTGACAATGTGCTGGTGCAGAACTCCAGCTTCACCCCAACGCTCCATCTAAAGAGGAAAGAGGCCAATCTCAAACTTGGAAAATTGAATCTGAATAGATCGACTACGAGCGGAAGTTCAGGCTGTAAGTCTTATCGCCCGCTGAGCAGCACGTCAAATGGGCAGGTCGCTACCTGGAGGTGCTCTATGAATATAAACAACAGCTGCTGATGTGGTGCACAGGAAGGGAGGGCGGGGGGGGGTGGAGGTGTTGGGGGTGGTGTTGGAAATGGTGGGGATGAGGAAAGGATGAGGAGAAGGCAAAAGGTGGCCAAACAGGAAGAATGAAGGGACGATCCAACCGGCAGAGTCAGAGAAGGGCGAGCGACGGGGGAGACGGGGGGAGACGGCGTGAGTGGATTAGAGGAGGTGAAGGGACGAGAGAAAGAGCCACAGGGCGGAATGGAAACGGAGGACGGCCGGGGCAAAAATTGAGAGGGGAGACTTTCGCGGCGGGTGGGACGGTGGCAAACATCAGCTTTATGGAGCGTGAGATTGATGAGGGTCGATTGTAGGTCAATGAAGCGATGACATCATTGTTCTAAACACTCAAAAAACTGATGCTGATGGAAATTGATCCATTTTACACGGATTGGCGGAAGACGTTTGTCGGGGCACCGATGAGAAGCGCTGAGGAAAGCTGTTAAGAGGAGCAGCATTCACAATAAACCAAAAGAGAAAAGAGCCCAAACTGCATCAACAGAAAATCCAAGATAACGGATTTATTCAAGCGATCAGTAGAAAATGTCCTGCAGGGACAGAAAATAGACATAATATTATATTTAACTGTTTTTCCTCTTATTATTTATTCCTGATTTAGCAAAAAAACTCTAGTAATTTGTTACTTTAACTGTCATTTTGATTATTAGACAAAGACTGAATGACAATTTGCAAGTAATGAGAGGGAAATTATTCATGTGATTGATTTGTTATGCCCCAATAATTATGAGACTAAATACAGAACCCTTTGCTCCACGTGCATTACTTTGCACCCAGATAACGCCCAGTTTTACTTGCATAGCTTTAGTTGGACGAGAGCGGACTGATCATTCTGCTTTGTGTTGCAGATCATTCGAATTGGACCCCAAGTCGCTGAAAAACACATTTTTCATTATTTCTTTGTCACCATTTGGGTGCTGGAAGACATGAAATACAGGTGATAATTAGTGAAAACGATCACGGTTATTTTCTGTGCATCTGCTACTTTCCATTAAAACAAGTAAACGGAGCTTACTAATGCGTTCGAGGGTAATTGGCACAGCGCTCCATGACGGATTTGCAGACGTCGCTGCAATGCTTTCTGGCCTTTTATTACCTCTCGTATTTCAATATTTTGACTGCCCGATTGCTTTCTGTATTGATTGAATATGATCCCCAGTTTTTGTTATATGTCGTGTTTCCATCTCCGTGTATGGACACATTGGGAAATACAATTACATCACAACCCCATTTCCCTCGTGCACTTGTTAGACAGAGCCCTATTCGATGTCATTAAACGCTCATTAAACACCTGCATTTGGCTTAAAGTATTTCATTTTGTGGTTGATTCTTCACAACACGTTATTTTTTTCCATTACAGAAACAATCAAGATGTTTCAAGCTTCCTGCCCCGTGTTAACTTCATGTAATACACCTATTGCAGTATGTGGCATGGATGATAGGGTTCCTTGTGTTCCCACCATGTTGGAGACGCCGCGGACCGTCTCCGGGTTCAGCATGACGATCTCGGTGGTCACGTGACCTTCCACGGCCTCCGTCATGTTCTCCACGGTGCAGTTGATCGCCGGGTCTTTGATCTTGAACCAGTTGTCTGCGTACCAGCCTATCAGGAACCACACGTACTTCTTCCCGTAGAGCTTCTCCTTGAAAACCTGCAGCGGCGGCAGGAGGAGGAGGAGGAGGAGGAGGAGGAGGAGGAAGGGGGGGGCAGACATGAAGGTTGGACGGAGGGAGGAAGAGAATGATGAATAAGCACAAGGAAAGTTATTCCCTGAGAGGATGTTGCATCATTGCCAGACAAAGATATCCATTCAGACATTCAACCAGAGCTGAATTCCTGCTATTAGCCAGTCAGCTGCAGTGCCTTTCATAGGAGGAGAAAAGGAACTCACCTCACAAAACACCTTCCTGGCCTCGGTCTCATAAAAGAGCCCCACAATGATCCTCGCGTCTTGGCGCTGCGGCATGTTGGATCATGGAAACAAGGAAACAAAACCATCTCTCAGCATCATCAGGAGCACCGATGCGGCGTCGCGGGGCGCCGAGGTTCCCGCCGCTTTCGCAGGACGGCACGTAGCGCTGGCTCGGGAGCTGCTAATTAGCGTGACGCATTCATTTCCTCTATCAAATCGCCTCTATGCTAATGGCGGCGCGTGCAGCTGTGAGTCGGAGGCGGAGGGGGAGGGGGAATGAAGACGGCCGGCAGCTGAGGTGAATTTTTAATCAAAGCACCTTGAGGTTCTTGACAGCGACAGCCGGGTCGGTGAGGAAACTCTGGCGAACGCTGATCTCGATGCCCGCCTCCTTCGTCCTTTCCTCCAGATCGTCTAGAGTCTGCAAGATCAAAGGGAAGGACAGAGGGAGACGGACAGGGAGGGGGGCGAGGGGGGTGGGAGGGGGGAGAGGGGGGAGGTTAGAGAGCCAGCTGAACCGAGACGAGAGAGCGGTCGAGATTACAGATGGAGACAACAGGAAAGCATAAAGTCTGTGGAGACTGAGAGAAAATCTGTGAGAACTGTCAACGGCGGGATGGACGGCGTGATATACGGGAGGTATAGATTTTTTGAGGAGAAGGATGTGTGAAGGTACGGGGGAAGACTGTGGGAGCAGGATCATTAACCTCAATTACAGGAACCAGCTCCACTGTCATGGTTTTCCACCTGCGTGCCTGTTGGATGTCTATGTCCTGATCCGTATCGAACCACAACCAATACTTCACAAACCCTCAATCAATTCCCTGCAAGGGGTTGAAGAAATATTGCGTGGCCTGAGAACACAACAGCTCTTGTAAACAAACCTGCCGAGGCAAAGCCGAAGCTTTGCCACGAAACAACGAAGACAGGAAGCGAAGGTCGAGTCGAGTGAACAGCGAGTGAGAGAGAGATTAAAGAAAGAGTAGGAGATCAAACGAAAGGCGTGCGATGGAAAAGCGAGACGGGGAAGATCGAAAGGTACTCACCGAGGTGAAGACTTCGGTGTTCTGCTGGATGGTGGCGATGCGGGTCCACTTCCACTTCTGGAAGAGCTGCACCCGGGGGGGTTTGTGAAGGGTGGCGGACGGGTGCGTGCGAAAAAAGGTGGGGAAGCGCTGGCGTTTTGACAGGGCCGGCGAGCGGGACCCTTAGGACAGCTGGGACACACGGGGGGGGGGGGGGGGGAATAAGAATGAGGCAGCGTTTGGATGGAAGTATTTGGATAGAAAACCGTACTTCTGGTGATCCATCAGCAGTCGGACCGACTTCAATCAAAATGTATTCAAATTGGGACTCTGTTGTTCATCCCGTGTACACAGTGTTCTTTGATGGCGACGGACAGGAAAGCCAGCAGAAAGACACAGAGCCAGAAAGAAAATCCACGCTCCCATTTTCTCTCCCTCTTTGCAGCTTCTCTCCGGCTTATCAGGTGTGCAGATAAACACTTTAATTTCCCCAACAAAAAAACAAAAAAAAAGACCTGCATGCAGGATTCCCCGTGCATACGCTGCCATGAAATCGTGATGCGATTACAGACCCAACAAATAAAACGGAACGATCTAATTATTGTTGCACAAGTCATCGTCTGCCTCTTTTCTCTTGGACCCGAATCATTTGAATTTTCAGGCTCAAATCCCGCTGAGGCGCGAGTTCAAAACCAGCAGGGACGAGGTGGAAAAATAGCAGACAGAAACCGCCGGTTCTTCTCACAATTAGTTTCACAGTGGCAACTAATCAAATCCTCGACAGGTCTCGTTTACAACGGGGATGGCGACAGCGCGGTGCGCCCCCTCCCCCTCCCCCTCTCTCCCTCCCCCCACGGCAGCACCGGCACCTCCTCGACCCCGGGAGGTTCCCCGATGGCCGCGAGGGGTGCCTGACGCCGGGTGACAAACGTCATGTGTGGTCTCCCCACAATAATGGATCCCCGTGGGCGCAGGCCGGAGGCGCTTGAGGAGGGAGGGGGGGGGGGGGGGGACGAGCGCGCCACGCGACAGATGGTTCCCGGGCGCCGCATTGGGAGGACGAGGAGAAACCAGCAGCTTCGGTAGTAAACACGATGAGCGCTCGTAGCATTACATGATGCAGTGCTTCATGCGATTGGTTCCTGAGAACATGTTTGTGACCGTGAAGACGAGGGAATAGAACAACAATGTGCAAAAATAAAAGAAGCTATTGTGACAGCTGTCTAACGTCTGTCGCGTTCCATCAACACCAAGAAGAAAAGCCAGTATTTTGTGTCAATCCCACACAACACACACACACACACACACAGAGACATCTGAAGTATATTAATCCAATGCATGTAAATGGAACTTTGTTTGTGAGGGTTTGCTTTACCCTGCTGTTCAACATTTGAACCAAAGTACTTGATATTTCTCGGTTTTGACCTGATGATGTTCCCTCACAAAAAGTCTGAATATATTGTCGGTACACAATTTGAGGGCCAGTAAATGGGTTTGATATCAAGCTATTGACCTAAAAGGGCGCTTCACCTGAGCATGATTAGAGACACCAAGCCTGTAAAGCAGCAATAGCAGATAGGGATCGGGCGCAAAACAGCCATGTCCATAATGAGGTGACTTGGGGATCACAAAGTGGCCATTTTTAGGTATAGGAGTCAGAAATCAATGCCCAATTTACTCAAAGACTAGAATACCATATCAATGAGACCCGTCCACGATATGCGACACACTTGTTGTTAAGCGTTACAAAAGAAAGAAAATGTAACATCACTGCCGAATATCTCAAACTGAATAAAACAAACACAAAACTAGTGTGAGTTTTTGAAACCTTTTCAAATGAAAGATTCAACACATTTTACAGTTTGTCCAATCCGGATCCGGCATGGGTTACATCTGCACCACGCGGATAGAATTCCATCATTTAAGAAAATCAACAAACCGGAAGCAAGCTTTTCCCTCCAAAAAGAAACTTCCCCCAGACACAAACACAGCGACAAAACAAAAATGGAGCAAAAAGCAGAAAGCCGTGGCAGAAATAGAGCGACGTAGCAGCGCTCAGCAACAGACACATCGAAGCCTCCCGAAAAAAACACAAACAATATCTCTTGTTCCTCAGTTCCCCGGCAGCCTTGTAGTAGCAGATCAATGGCCGTCTGAGGCTTACAGTGCTTTTAGAAAAGGGAGATGGGGGATCAAATTAACACTGTGCCAAGAGGAGCCGATGGAGAGGCCCACTTCTTGATCAGCGTCCAGAAACGGGGGAGGGGGAGAGATGGGGGTTGCTTTCGCCTCCCCCCCCCCTAGCGAGCCCGTTTGACATGCGAGGAGGCTTCTGCGGGCAGGCGGCACACGGAAATAATTGAGTGCGGCGGTTCGGAGGTTGTGCCAGTGGTGGCGTGGAGTAAAGAGAGGCAGATCCCTTTGTGTGCCGGGAGAATCGACTGCTCGAACTGAGCCGGCGAGGCGGAAGCGAGAGAGAGAGAGAGAGAGAGACGGTTATGTGATGGAGAGGAGGAAGGAAGGAAGGAAGGAAGGAGGGAAAGGAAGGAATAAATGAGGCTGGAATAGAGAATGAAAGGTCCAGGCTGAGAGGAGAGGAAGGGGAGGGACTTAAAAGTGTGTGAGTTTTTAATGATGAGGGAAAGAACGGGGCACAAAGAGAAAGGGGGGGACGCGGGGGGGCAGATGCCAAACACTAGAACTGATTGTTCCCGATGACTAATCTCTTGATGAAACTTCGATCACAGGACAAAGCTAATAAACTGTGAGTGACAGAGAGGCAGATCGAGAGCAGACGGAGATAAACAAAATCAACTCAAAGGCATAAAATAATATTTTTGAAAGGCCACAGCAGCAGATCCCTCACCGGTTGAGAGATCTGGGATGCGCTTGTACTTGTGATGGCTGTGTTATGATGTAGGTCAAACAATAGGCTTTGACCGGCACGTGTCGCTGCCGGCGCGGCGGGTAAAGTGTCGCGTTAAGCGCCGCTAATTAAAGCCGGCGTTTGAGGTATTTGAAAATCAATAAACAACTACTGCATTGATTCTGGGAACTATAATTACCGCGGGCACAAAAGATTAGATAGAACGCCAGCGTCCAATAGCTCGCACGGGCAGCTCTACATCGCTTGTAACGAACAGAGCTAAAGATTTTCGTGTCATTTTCAAAGGTTTCGTATCAGCTCATATCCCTCTCGGTGTTATCTGCGAGGGAAAAGACATGTGAGGGAAAGTCTTCTCCGCGGTTTGTCTGGCACCCCGCCCTCCTTCCCTGTGGAGGATCAGTGCCGTTACTTAAGTTGTTTTGGACCAAAAGGGTCTGAATGGTAAATGGCCTTCGCACGGCGCTGCCAGGCAGGGTAGTTTTGAGTTTTACGTGCTCAGGTTTTGAGATGTCTTATCTGTAAGAATATCAGCCTCCACCGGATTGAAGTGGAGGTGAATCCTCCGACACCGAAGAAACAGTTCCCATATGAAAACTGTTGTGGATGTCTAGAGGAAGAAGAGCAATGTTTCTGGAATGTGATGTCTCGATGATTCCATCCACCAGCATTGCTTTGGGTGCGGCGGCTGAAATCTCGTCAGCATCACATATATCAGCAAACGTAAACATAAGTGGACACCGCCAGAGAGTCCGAGACGCAATGTGCAAAGAACTATCACTGGATCACTCTGATGCTGAAGAAAACGAGTATGCGATTATTCTGAAATACATCACCAATTAACATTGTGCATCAAATAAACAATAATTAAAAAGACAGATTCATTGATGTTCCATTTGCAAAGGATATCAAATTATATATAAATATATATATATCCTCTGGAAGTCTGGAAGTCATGTCTAAAAATATGTGTTCACATTTGACTGAGTAATGAGGAAGAAGAGGTACAAATATTGACGCCAGTTGCAGCTCGAGTCTCACATCTCTCTGCGCGCACCCCGCCTTCAAGAATTTAAAAATACTCTGGGTTAAAATGACTGGGGATTGCGAAAAAAAAAAGACAAGAGCCTGAAAAGTGGTGCACTTGTGCATAAAGAGAAAAAAAGAGAGAGACACCCACCACGATGAGGTTCCACATGCGAGCGGCCTCGGCCACCAGCGTGGAGACGCCGCTGCAGCCGGGCAGCAGGACGATCTTGATGGGCTCCGTGTACAGGAGGTCGTACAGCAACTTGGTGGCTTCTCCGGGGTCACACTGCAAGGACAGAATGACACAGTGTTCAACGGACGGACGGGAGAGCAGATGGGCCGCGCTGATCAATAATAGGGATGAGAAGTCACTCGAGGTGATTGAAAAAGCGGAGGGGAAGCGGGAATGAATCAGAGCGGGAGGAGGGGGAGGGTGGGGGGGGGGACAGATAAAGGTGAGGGAGACAGATGAAATGGGAGCAGAGGATGAGGAACAAATAGGAAATGGAGCGTGGGGGGATGGAGGCGACAGCAGACAGAAAATGGAAAGAAGAAAACACAGCGGATGAATGACATGGAAGAAGCAGGAGCCAACTAACGGGGCGAAGGACGCGCGTGCAAAGTGAGGAGACAAGCGCGACAAACAAGGTGCCGAGTGAGGAAAAAGGCCAAGAGCGAAACAGACAAGGTCACGGTGAAGTAGAAGAGACAATTTTCGAGAGCGAGATCACCGAACAAACACATGCAAATGTTCGGGGGAGAAAGAGATAACTGTCCACACGGACATGTGAAACACAAAGACGGACCGAAGACACACTAAAAGGCGCGGCGGCCGTCCACAAGTGGTCACAACACCTCCGATAAAGTCATTTACAGGATGTGGAGGTGGCGAGGGTGTGGCTGGAATGATCCGTCAGCCCGGGCCGCCGTCACGCCGTCACGGCCCGACACCTCTAATGATGCAGGAAGGAGACGCGGCTCGCAGACACAAACACGCACACGCGTGCACAGTTTCTTTTTTTTTTTTTTTTTAAACAGACGAGTGTCACAAACGATTGGGCCGCGGCCCGATGATGGCGCCGACCGATACCGCTCCTAATTGGGGGGTTTGTATCAGTGGCTGAATTGTCTCTTTCAGGCAGCCCTCTGCTCTCTGATGAGGTAATCACCACTCAGGAACCAGGGAATATGTGGAATAGCCGGGCGTGTCATGGATTGATGTGTTTTCCATTATTTCTAGATGGGGAGGAATTATGGTGGTGTCATGTCATCGCGGGGGAACGTCGGGGGGCTGTCACGCTCAATGTGAGTCTCTGTTTGGTTTCCTCTCTCGGTCAAAATTCTGCTAGAATTACCTTTATTTATTGGACCGCATGAAGACCTTTAGTCTGTTTAAACTGTGCGCGTCATAAAGGGGAAAAGGTGCAGTTTGCGGCATCTTTAAATGATCTTGCATACGTGCAGCGGGAGCCTCGATACCATCGGAGGAATAATACTTCAGATCAGGAGAGAAGGGAATAGCAAGGATTTCATTTTGAGCTAAGCCTGCGTCCACTCCTATATTAATATTTGCTCATGTGCTTTCTCTAAAGTGTGTCATATTGCAGTGGCTTCTGAAGCACTACACCTTTTAGCTATACACATTTTATTTTTAACAAGCCCAGGTAGACTATGGCCGAAGACTTCCATCATAAAATAGGTCATTTCGTAACTTAAAAGCCATATTTATAAAGATACAGTACGCTTTCTTGGTAAGAGAATCCATAGTTTCTTTGAAATAATCACCTGGTTTTGTACATGTTTAAAAAAAAACTTTTCTTTCTTTAAAATACTTTTATAAAATTGTTGAACCCACAACTTTTTTTAGAGATGAAAATACTCTATTTGTTTACATAAACAAATGGATTCTTTTTCATCACTGAAAGGACTGAACATTCAACCTTGAGGAAGACGTTTATGGTCTGTTCACCAGCCACTGAACCACCGGGCCGCCTCCATTGCCATCGACTGGGTGAGCAGCTGCGCGGTACTGATGTCGCATAGGAGCAGCGCGGGGGCCGAGAGGCTGCAGGTTTTTCCTTCCGATCAATCGCCGGCCCAGCTGATTTCACGCATCGCGTCCTCCTCTCTGTTCGAATCAGCCGCAGCCCGTCGGTTTCCTTCAGCCTCATAAAAAAAATAATAAATAAAATAAAAATAATTCCGCTTTGTCTTGGTGCGGCGGCACCGCGGATTGACGCACAGAGCTTTCTTTTTTTAAAACACTGCTTTCAGCTGGAGGTTGTTTGTGTTCCCTGTCACCGTGGCTGTGGGCTGCATGCTGACACAAAGCTGGTTCGCTGCCTGGTGTTGCGGTGTTGTTTAACTCTGCACTGGTAAGGGCTAGTTCTTTGATGGGAGACATTTCAATGGTCTGATAAATCAGTCATTACAGTCCACCCTTCCACGGCGTTCAATAACAGCTTGTTTGCATACATATTCCAAATGACTCGCAGCGTATGAGGTGTAGTAAATTTGAATAAAGTCAGAGAGCACAGACCTCTGACCGATCTTAACAAAGGGGAAATAATTGAAGGGGTTCCTTCGTGGGCCAAAGCTACACGTTTCCACTGGGTTTCAGGGAAATAAATAACAGTAATTATTTCCACAATACCGCTGACAAACAAACAAAAAAAAAACACAACCTCATTTTTAGAGGTTTTAGGGATCAGTTCATTATTTTACCTGACACAATAAGCCCTTATCTCTCCATGTGTTTAGACACTATTATTTTACTACCTATCTGTACACATCAATGGCAAAACAGTCTTGAGTAGGCAAACACTTTGACACATGTCACATAGAAAATAAGTCTGCTTTAAATATGCAAATATCCCTTAATATGCAAAAGAGTGCACTTGACTTGACCCATTCAATCGCCCTTTAGAGTCTGACAGGCTGTCCAGGAAAACAACAAACGTCTATTCCTTAATTAGACCCCATACATGCACCTCGTGATTTGACAAACGTAAAAAAAAATAAAGCTTTTCATAACAAAAAGGGAAAGGCGATACAGTGAGAGGTGAAAAAGCACCTAGTACCCCTTATGAAATAAACATGGAGAGAGAAAACAGGGCTGTTGGCAGGTATGTCGGAAAGGTTGAAGAATCTCTGCTGTTCTTGGAGGTCTGTCTTCTGAAACCCCCAGAGACCCTTTCCTCACCAGACTGGATTGACGGCATGATCACGTGCACACTGACCGACACGCACATGCACACACACACACACACACACCGCGATACTTCTACCTTTGAGAGGGCAAACGTCAATATCATGGCTCGTTTTCGTAACCTTAACCACATCAACTAAATGCCTCACATTGCCAACATTAACGTGACCTGAACCTAAACCGCAAAGTCTGATCCCCCAAACAGGCTTTTCATAAAAGCCACGACTGCCCGAATAATGTCCTCCCTCAGAAGGTGAACTCAATCTGGTGCTCACAGAGCTTTAAGTACAAGTGCAAGCAGTCACACAAACACACAGGAAATGATTAGTGTGCACCATGTGTGTGTGTGTGTGTCAGTCATAAAAACGACTGCATGTGCACACACACACACACACACACACACACACACAAGTGACGTAGCGCCGCCACCTGCTTCGCTGTCCTTGGTGCTGAAATTCCCGGAGCCAATAATAGTGCTGTCGTTAACATGCCTGCGCTGCCTTTCCAATCAGTCAACCCGGCTCGCGACAATCTGAACGCTCCCCGGACGGAGGAGAGCGGGAGAAGACAGCGGCTCGTCGTGAAACACACCTCTCTAATTACACTCCAGATTGAATAATATAAAAAGAGAGCGTGGAAAAGGGGGATAAGGCCCAGGGGGACAGACTATGTGTTGAATCTCAAAGTATGCGCTCCTACGTCTCCTCGTTTTCTCATTATTATTTGCCCCCCTCAGCCCCAAATTCAGGCTTGTATGACCAGTGATGAACACTGGTTATGCCACAATGATCGGGGGGGGAAATTGTGCCGCCGCAGCCAATTAAAATAAAGGACGTGAGTGAGGGAAGCACCTTGTTTTACCATTTCTCTGTATCCCCACTGTCTCGCTCCATCACTGTTAATAATTGATCAAAGTTTGCAGTCTCGGCTTTGATATATCCATGGCAACGGCCTGCCTGAGTGTGTGTGTCTGCGCGTACTGTGCGCGTCTGTCCGTGTGTGGATCTCAGAGGGCTGTAAATAGTCCGACTCTGTCGCCAGAATAGCCGGAGAAACACGGCGTTCTGCTACCACGGGGTATATCTGCATCCATTTAAAGGGACAGGCTGGGAGTCAGTGTTGAGCTCCATGAATATTGCATGATGTTGAACAAGCCGAGGACATCGCTTGCTTCAATGGTCACTGGTGTGCGAATGTTTGTCTGCCAAATCCAAGTCAAACTTTAACGTGGCTTTAACGTGGCTTTTTTCCCCCCCCAAAAGCTGCTGATAACGAGTTGTTAAGAAAAAAAGTTCCTTTATGGTAATGAATTCAGGTCGAGAGGCTCTGCTGCGTGATCACACTTTCTCCAGCCTTGATCTTGAGACGCAAACCAAGGGGGCGAGTTACGCCCTTTGTCTTAATCTCACGGTTAAACAAAAGAACGTGCTCACAAGGTGGAGATTGGCTCTGATTAAAACAAGGCTTGAGCCGCGCGATGGCTGCATTTAAATAACTCAGCTGATTCACCCCCCCTCCCACCCCCCCCTTCATTTAATAGCTTTTCAGCCTCTCCGAGAGAAAGATCCTCATTACTATTCCAGCCAGGTGAGACGCATTTGCAATGAGAAACCTGCTTACAAACACACTGTATAGCGTTAGCAAGAGCAATGAATTCCCTCCTGGACTTAATTCAAGGCATCAGCCTGCGTGGCTCAGACAACGTGATACCGGCTTCTTTTAGCTGTTTTATTCAAAGGATTTGCATCTATTTATCGAGCCGGAGTCGCCAGTGACTCTCGGAGCGCGAGGAGGGATGTTTCCCCCAAATCCCTTATGAAATGTGCTCACGCCATTGCTTTAAATTTACGTTTATGGCAGCTGCCCGCCTCAACACACTCGTAATCAGGAGGAAGCACACACACACACACACATTTGATTTGATTACAAGGAACAAGGCGTATGCGTGACACACACACACACAATAAGCATGCACTGCACACATGCAGCATATGAATCTGTGCACATATTTCCACAGAGCTGAAATCTTATTTGTTTCTGTGGTTTGCTTCAAGAGTAGCTGTGTTGCCATGCCAACTCTCCCTCTCGCTCTGTCACACACATGCAAACACACATTTTCGCTCTCCCCCCGCTATGCTGTTTAACAGGATTCCAATGCAGAGCCTTGTACACCAATCAGGATAAAGCTCGTAGCACATTTCTAACCAGTCCCAGTACAGTTAACTGTTTGCTGCCCCGGTTGCTCTCCAGGCACTTCCTGCAGCATGATGGATAATAACCATGCCGGGGCAATATCCAGTAATTGTTTTCATGTGTCTGGACTCATCCCGCTGATGAAAAAATGGCTCCCTTTGGGGGTAAAAACCTTCAGAATAACAATTAGGACAGGTAGCGACAAAGCGAGAGCATGTTCTTCTTCCTACACAGATAAACAGTGGGCTTTTAAATTAAAAATCTATGTCAACGTAGTGGGGGGTAATCTGGGGCAGCCAGGGGGGGGAATGAAACCCGTCAGGGGGGGGTATTGGATTCATAGTGGTTGATAATATTGACATTTTAAAATACCAATGAGATGAATGATTGATGAGCAACACGCGGGAGGTGTGTTTGTCTTTTAACGCGTAACCCCCTTTGTGAGGCACTGGGGGGGCTTCAGGGTTAGTTAGCAGGCTCCTCTTTGAGATGTGAGAGCGGCCTGTTGACTCTGGCAAAGTGACATTTAATGTATCGGCCATGCTTCTAAATAATAAAAAAAAAACAGAGGTGGGAAATTAGAATTAGCTCTGAAAGCCAAGACAGCGCTGTGCGTCGCAAGAGGAAGCGAACACGTGAAACACACAAACAGTGATGGCAGATGACTGCGGGCGCACCTGGGATGACACAAGAGAGCCAGTTGGCTCCGCGTGACAATCCACCGGAGAGGCGGACGATCAGACCCCCCCTCACTTACTGACACCGCACATCTCATCCTGAGAGCGCGCGCGCCTCCTGCCCGGCTCCGCTCTCCACGCGCACTCACCATGCTGTCGTAGTGGATGAGCTCCAGCTCGTAGTCGGGCAGGATGTCGCTCCTGTTGTTCACCAGATCCAGGGCCATCTGAGCGGAGGGCATGCACGCCTGGCCCCCGTGCCAGCCCCCGCTCATGGGGAACAGCGCCCCGATGTACAGCTTCTTCTTGCCTGCGGACGGCCGAGGCCAGGAGAGGAGGAGAGCGATGAGAGACGCCCGCAGGAGGAGCGTCGGGTGCCCGCGGGTCGCGAGAGGTACCGGCGGGGGACTTCTGCGGACCTCCGCCATGGTTCCAGGTGAGCTGAACCGGAGCCGGTCTCCGGTCACAGCGCGCTCGAGTCTCTTTGGGAACTAAAACGTGAAGGCGAGCTCAACACGTGTCCGGCTCGCGCGAAGTGGCCTGAGCTCGAGCTGTTTACTTTTTAATTGCGAGTGTTTAGCGAATTGGGTAATTAATTGGGTTCGGCGTATAATTTAGCATACGGCTTGGTTAATTATTCATGGCATAGTGGATATTTCTTCTTTTTTTTTGGAGAGTGGGGAGGGGGGCGAAGTCAGACACAGTTCAAACTGAAACTCAACGAGTTTCAGACGCGCAATCCAGCCCATAATCCACCATCCTCTGCGCGATGCCGAACTAGAGCATCGCTTTCTGCTCGCGATCGATCATGTCGGATATCGGAGCGCGTGCGCGCGCGCGCGTCACTCCTCGCGAGCCTTCACGCTCCAAAGAAAAATAAAATAATAATCAGACAGTGGAGTCCGCGCGCGGGACACGTTAACCGGGTCAGATGAGCGCACGGCTAAAATAATAACAGCAAAGACAACCGGGGAGCGAATAAACAGCCCAGCAGCAGAAATTAGCAGGAAGCATCTCCCCCTCCTCTCTCCCCCCCCCCCCAAAAAAACCCGCCCTTCCCTTTAACGCGGCCGTATTCCAACAGATGAGACGATTTTCCGCGGAGAGCTCTGCGTCTGAACCACTGCAGCACCGAAGGCTGAGTGTGTGTGCGTGTAGTGGAGAGAGAGAGAGAGGGGGGGAGGGAGGGAGAGAGAGAGAGGACAAGTCTGAAATGTAAGCTGAGACAGAGAGAGGAGAGGGAGGGGGCTCCGGGCTAAATCTCCTCAAAGATTCTCTGATGAGTTGCACGCTGCGCTTTACTTAAAACTGAGCATCCATTGCAACCAGAGTCCCTCGCATCCTCTTTCTTTGTCACGGGTTCCTCTTTGCAGTTTGCCTGCTTTTTTTTAATTTATTTTTTTACTCCCACCACTTGCTGCGGCTGCCATATTTGGCTCAGGCTGCAGGCTGGTGGCTCCATTATCAGTTCCCGATCGATGCATCGGCTCTTTGAGGCCAAACGTGACGTCATCAAAGAAGTCGGATTTGTTTTTGCCACTTGTGCGTTCCGTTCTTTTCGAGGGAAAAGGTTTGAATGTCACCATTGCAGCCATGTGGTTATATACCAACGCAGCGGACACATTTAAAGTGTAACAGGTGAAGGTTAATAAGAATACTCTGAGGAGGAACATGTAAACCAAATGTCATGGCAATCCATCCACGAAGAAAAGTCAGGAGGATGTATCCTCTGGGGAACCTGAATGCCTGTATAGAATTGAATGCCAATCCAATAAATATGTGTTCGGGTTTTCCATTCAAATGCTGCCGCAACAATGTCGGCGTGTAACCTTTAGTCTGGTTTCAACATGGATACCTCGATGCCACTTCACCTCCCAATCAATACCCCTGTGCTAACTGGCCCTGCACAGCAGCAGCAGCAGGGAGCGAAGGATCTCTGTGACCACCTCCGCTAATTCCTAGAGCGTTTCCTCTCTGCCTCCTTCTCCGCGGCCCATTCCACATGGCGCTGCAGACGCTTACTTTGAGAAATCAGCGAGACATTTGGCTTCATTTCTGGAAACAGTGATGCAGTTATTGTAGATAAGAGAGCGTCTGCCTGCACACCTGTTTGAATCGTCTTCTCCAAACCGCCACAGTCAACTCCGACACACAAAGGCATGCAAGCAGCACACCATCTGATATGCGCACAAAGAACGACTTTAAAAGAAGAAAGGTCACTAGATCGACACAGGATTAGTGACTATACATTTGGGACCAACATTGCTTTTAATTTGGTGGTCTCTCTCTTTTAGGCTTCCACATTCAACATTCACAATTATGAATACTAAAAAAAAGATTATTTGAAATAATGAGAAGAAATGGCTTGAAACACGTTTTATGTTTCTGGAGAAACCTCGGACGTAATTTGACCTTGCTGAATCCTTTTAGGGATGTTTTATCTTAAGGTTCCAAGCTGGTTTGTCTGAGATCTTTACATTGACTAGGATTCACTACTCAGTTATTTCATTCCATGCTCAGGCTTTTGTAGCTCCTGTGCAAGCGTTTTAATTGCAATGTAATGTCAGTCTGAAAGTTCCCTTTTGAAAATGACTTACTGCAGCAGTCGAGGAGAAGAGACCATTATTTCTCCAGTCTAAATTAAAAACACTGTGTAGTTATGCAAGGGAGCATGACTATAATATCACCCTGGTTCATTACCAGAACCTCATTATCTGGATATCTCCGTGTAGCAGTGAGCTATTAAGATCCAGCTGCTAACAAGTCCTCGCAGGCCGAGGTGAGAGGACTGATCATCTGCTGGCATTTGACTTCCACTTCCACCTCCTCTTCCGCGCTGCCACCCGCGAACCATCCAACGCGCTCAATCAATTATTCAGCCGTGAACTTTAGATCCTTTTTCTTTTCCTTTTTTTGCTGCGTAATCCTACAGCCGACACATTGGAGACGCACCGGCGACGGTGCAGTGTTAACAACCCCCACAGCGGCAAATAGCACTTTCGGAGGAGACATTAACGGTGGCACGGCCTGGAGAAGAGGCGGCGGAGACGCACGAGGGCCCCAACCGCGCTGCCGGGCCGCTCTAATGAGGGCCCCGCGCCGGATGCTGTTCGCTAACGGAGCATCCTTCAGGATAATGGCCTGTTTTTCTTCCTAGCAGCTGCGTTAGTTGGGGCACGCACCGTTTTCAATGTCCCCTTTTTGTAGCACTTGATTACAATGTCCTCCACTTGCAGAGCGCATGTTATCCAGGGCGCAATGGGAGTCATTGTGATGACAAAATGCATTGTGTGAAAAGCAATCAAACGCTTTGAAATGCGCAAGAATGACTTTTTGTTTGCTTGCTTTTGTGGGTAAAAGTCTCTAAAAATGTCTTTGTGTAGAAGTGAGACTCCGGTTAAGTAGTTCCATGAGGCTTTCTTTGTGTTTGACTTTGCCTGCTGTGCCAGATGGGCAAGGTGAAGATGTAGCCTGTATTTACACGTTGTGCTGCCGGAATTATTGGAAAAACATTTTATAGGAGCATAAATGTTGGCCGGGATGCAATAAAAAGACTGTTCATCATGCAGTAAAAAGCTCTGACTTGGATATAGCATCATCATTACATAATTTGTCCAGCAGCAGCAGCAACACACACCAGTTTCCAATACTCTGCAGCGCCTCAGTTATTAGAGTAATATATCATGCCTGAGTATCACAGTGGGGGGGGGGCTGAGAGTAATAAGTTCATTGTTCCACTGTAAAAAATACCCTGCCCCCGAGGGCATAGCTTCATAGCAACATTTACTAACGAGTTCTGCAAACATAGATATGAAGAAGGAATGTATTCAGCAATATCAATACCACAGTGTTTTAGACTGAACTCCTCTGCTTCAAAAACCCATTTGCGGCCACAAGCGACTGCACAGATGAGTCACATGCAGAGATTAAAGCGCCGCTAAAATGGTACAAATGGTGCAGGACTTCTCTAAGGACGAGGGTGGCCTTCTCATTTTAAACAAATCCCAAGAGGAGGAAGGACAAAAACCCAACGCCTCTATCTCTATCACTCTATCACTACTCGTGACGTCTGTGTGGCCAAAGGATGATTTATCGGGTTCCATAAAGTTGTCTCTTCGTCCAGCCGCTGCATTCGGCCTTCGTCAAAACTATTAAAAACGCATCAACGAGCGTTCCTGTGCTTTGATTACGACAGGTACTGTAGTTTATTTTAAGCCCTGCTGCTGTGAACACTCCCTTGTGCACCAAACGTGTGTTGATTGAAAATAGTCTCCAACCGTTTCCTCTTTCCTCTGTTTTAGTAACATTTGTTAGAAACTACCAGTTTTTTTTTTATTACATTACATTACATTACAGGTCATTTAGCAGACGCTTTTATCCAAAGCGACTTACATTACACTTTAAACCCATGGCTTTTCACATTTTGCCCAGGGAGCAATTAGGGGTTAGGTATTAAATCACTCTTCAAATGTTCACTTCAATCTCACTCACAATTGTTTCTTCTAATTCTCATGATGTTTTGAGCACAAATAGGAGAAGGACAGATGCATTACAGCTTTGGAAAAGAGAGAGATACAAAATAGTTAGGGCTGTCATTAGATTAAAAAAAGATATATATAATTAATACATTAATCACAATTAAGTTATTTTTTTGACACAGTGGTGTTCCTCTGCCAAGTATCTAGCTTAGCCTTGTAGCTGGCTTAGCCTCGTAGCTAGCTTAGCCTAGTAGCTGGCTTAGCCTTGCAGCTAGCTTAGCCTTGTAGCTGGCTTAGCCTCGTAGCTAGCTTAGCCTAGTAGCTGGCTTAGCCTTGTAGCTAGCTTAGCCTCGTAGCTAGCTTACGATATTATTGCAATATCCAGATCTAACATAATGACAATATAATAGCATATTAATACAAGTACACTCTTTGAAAGAACAAAGAATGTTTTATTCATCCGAATAGTTAGACATATAGAAGCGGAATGTGAAAAAATATATATCTGCATTTCCACCGGGCCGGTCGATCATTAGCAGGACCGCTTACTGCATTAAAATATTTTATCGCATGTATCTCGGCCACATCAATCGCATACCGTAGATTAACGCGTTAATGTTGACAGCCCGAAAAATAATATATACATTTAGAACTATGCCACGCTTTTGCTCAATGTGTCTAAGCATTCTAAAAACAATCCTTTTGTTTTATTAAATAGAGTACCAAAATATATAACGCAGTACATATGCATACAGTATATAGTTTATTTAGCATATACTATATTTAGCTTGTTTGCAGCTTTGCTTCTATTGGTCTTGGTGGTTTTTGTTAGGCAGCATTTGCAGTAAACACAAAGTAGAAATGAAATCCCACTGCATGTGTGTGTGTTAGGAAACACACACACACACACACACACACAAAGGGTAGAGCAGACACAGACAGGAGCGGGGTATTAACCTTTCTCCCGCTGAGGAGGCAGTAAGTGGATGGTGATGGCACATGCGGTGGAGGGAGAGAGGGAGAGAGGGAGAGAGAGGGGGGGAGAGCAGACCCAGAAGGAGGTCGCCATTGAGACAGAAGATGGAAACGTCTATTTGAGGAAAGAGTTCTCGCTGCTTTGTTAATTATGTGTTTATCTGTCTCTGACATTTCAAAAGTTTTTTTTTTTTCCATCAGCAACTTCTAGGGTTACTGGCCTGGAGTGTATCTGACGTTTAGTGTGTGCATCCTGTGTGTGCGAGCAGCATGTGTGTGTGTGTGTGTGTGTGGTGGAACAGGTGTGCTCGTCTCATTGAAAGGTCACAACAGATTTGAGCCTAATAAGCGAGTGGGCCGTGATCCTTCCGACGATTGCAGCCCGTTTATGATTCAATATTTTGCAGATTCCTAATGTGGTGACACTAATTGTGCAAGAGGGCGAACCGTCCGGCAACAGCAGCATGCGTATTCATCATCATCTGCCTCGATCAGGTAAAATGTCCGCGCGACAGTTGACTCTTTATTTCTCCGAGAGAAGAAAGGTAATTTTCAGAAATGACCTGTTTCAAACCGCAGGTGTAATAGCGCCGTACCGAAGTCAGTGAGCGGAATATTTCACAACTGATTACAAACAGACCTGAGCGGCGACAAACTCATAGCTAGTCTTCATTTTCAAAATCCGTCTTGCTATTACTTTAGAGGGCAGGAGCGCGTGTTGCAAAAATGAGAATCAAACTAATATACAATTTTCATTCAAATTTACTAAAGACATAAGGGGGTGTGGATGAGTTGAGTTGAAAATGCTTCTTCAATAATGATGCTTATGAGCAGATTATATAGTCTTAATCTTCTCTGTGCCTTTGATTCACAAAAGAAGGATTTGCTGAATACTCAGGGGTAGAAGAATGTTCTTCGTGTTCCTTGGCAGGTATGGGGCTGATGGGAACACTCTAATATTGGATATGAAAAGTAATTTATTTAACCGAGTGTGCCGCTTCAATCATTTTCTTTCTCACATTAGATTGGACAAGCTGTTCATTTTCCCTTTTCCCCTGAAGTCACATTTCATTGTCTGTGCTTCAGGCTGCTGCTGCCCTCTTGTGGCTGCAGCACATATTGCATCTGCAGCACAGTCTGAACTAAATATACATGCACGTACATTTATGTGATCTGATTAAATGATTTTGTGTGGATTTCTGATTTCCTATTTTTTGGTTTACTTTGTTTTTATGTATAGTTAATGTTTGTCATGTTTTAATGACACATAAGACCATGCACTTGTATGTCCATCACACAATAATAAACATACGGTATTAATCATCGCATTGTAGTGACGTTTGGTTATCATGGACATGATAATAAGAAGTCTTACCTGTGTAGTTTCTGTCATCTTTGGCCAGCAAAGACAAAAAGAAGCAAAAAATAACAGTTGATTAAAAAAAATGCAATACAAATTTAAACAGATCAGCTGAGACCAGTAAGAAACGAATCCCTGTATTAAAACATTTGATGGGAAATCCTCAGGGTTTCTTTATTTAATTACTGACCTTGTTAATGCATAATTTGTATAATTTGGTGAAGTAAATGCAAAACAATTCAAATGGTTTTCCTCCACTAGATGGCAGCAACACAACATTGTAGTTGACTTGAGAAACGCACTGTGCTAGATATTATGTAATCCTATGACAGGAACGCCCCAAAAATGTAGCATATTCAAATCTATAGTTATATTGTGTAGATACCCTGGACTAGATTCAAGCAAAGCATTGATCAATAAACCAACAGAATACACGGTTGAATCATAACATTCACCTACTTTTACTGTACTGGTCCCTCTTTCATCTCTTTAAATACAACCATTTCCATAGCAACTTTAGTTGGTTGCCATGCCAACTCCTCTGATGACCAGTTGGCCATCTCATATCTTTCAGTAAATCCTCATTTATTTGTCCTAATTTGAACAAATATTTTTGGACTCTGCTGTAAGCGAGATCCCACTTGAGTGACGATGATATCACAAATATCCTCTCACACGTTTCTCTTATATTTGTCGCCTAGTTCTCTAGTCTACATACATTAACAAAAAACAAAAAGAAAAGATGACAACAAAGATGACAACAAAAAACCTGATGGGACATCAGGTTGTCATCTTTTCTTTCTGTTTTTTTACCTGCCTGCGCCAACCGCACAAACTACCCTCTCTTGGATTTCTGTCTGATTGGCTGGATCATTTATTGCCTAGCAACCGCGCTTCTCCATCGGGAGAGCAGGTGTTTGCAATTATCTGTCATCTTTAAAACCTCCTGTTCCCATTTCTGTGAGGCAGGCTGCATAAGTGAGCCATGTCTGCGTAGTGGAATGAACGTGGTCTGTTTATAGGAACATGTCTGGCAATAAAGCATCAGTCGGGCATTCAAATACGTTAACAGTCATTTTCATGAAAGAATCGATTTTAACTTCTAAAATGTCAGAACAAAAGATAATATATTTTCACCATCGGCCAACATGCGCTTTAACATCACATATTATAAAGACAAGCCTGGAGCCTATATTCTCTTTTATTCTGACATTTTAGAAGTGAAAATCGATTCTTTCATGAAAATTACTGTTAACGTCTTTGAATGTCCTCACATGGAGAATCTGGAGCTATATCGTAGTTGGGATTTTCGCTTGAGACAATTCATTGATGATCAAAAAGGTTCCGTGTTTCAGCTTAAAACGATTTGGCTCAAATTCGTAATAAAATCTCTCACAACATAAAAAAAATTACAATTCTAATTTTCGAATAAAGTTGTTTCTACCTGTTTGCTATTGATAACAAACCAGAAACATTGATACAAAGTTGCTCACTGCGTTGAAAATGTAAGCGGCATCCCACCATGGCACATAGTTCTTAATTTTACTGTAACTTGATGTAAAATCTCATGTGGTCACGCCGGCTCAGACACTCACAGAGGCACGTGGGTTTGGGCGCGTCCCACTTGCCCAGTTTAGTGCAATGGCTGATGTTTCTTCCCTCCAGGATGAAGCCGGCGTGGCAGCTGTAATGGAGCACTGTCCCCTCCACGGGTGGTCCGGGGGGCTTCACCGTCACCCGGCCGTTTTCCAGGGAGGTCCAGACCCGCGGGCACAGCAGCACTGAGAACCAGAGGAGCCGCAGAATAAAAGGCAGGCGGAAAAGCGGGGAGATATCGAAAGGTAAATGAGTTGCAGAAACGCTCACATTTATCACAGGTAAAAGTGCTTTGGGGGATGGATGAATGTCTTTTTGTTCTGAGCACTCGATAAGCGTACATTTAATATTCAATATTCAGTTTTATTGCCTCTTTAGCTGCTCAATGCTCCACATTGTTCATCAAGTAATCACCAAGTTCCTTTATAGTCTGCTGCATCTGGAAACCCGGAGGATGAGACTCGATCAAAAAGACACTAAACCACCGCTAGAGATAGATAGATAGAGACAGCTGTAATATTTTACAACATATCTCCCATCATACATATATATATATATATATATATATTAATATACAGCATTACCGGTCCGAATGATGATGTTAAATAAACAAAACTACAATTTTCTATTTTCCAGTATTATTTTGGTGCTAAATATGCTTTTTCTACAGCATATTACGCCTGTGCTTATACAAGGTTTTCACCTTTAAACGTAAGCTTAACCTCACTTGCCATCATTCATAATAGGTTTTCCACAGGTTAATATACTTAAACCGTCTCGCTCCCAGTCACCAAGTCTCAAATTCTTACTCATGCAGTAAACATCCAGGCGTCTCTGGACACCATCCACACACTGCGCATTTTCAATGCTCGACACACTCAGCTTTACGTCATACTTGGTATGCGTAGTATGTTGGTCTGTGATTCCTAACAGAGCTCCGGTGGACACAATCTGCAGTCTAATGGCGACCCACTGAATTATGGGAAGGTTGTTCGTCAGAATGTCTGCTGCAGGCAGAAAAATAACCATAACCTCAAATAGAAAAGGCACAACTCAAGAGTTACAGTCCTCCTGATAACAGCGCATGCTAACACGCTCACAAGGACAATGCTAACATGCTAACATGCTGATTCACATTCACACGGCATGTTTTTAGATTTTAGTGTGCTGGCATACATCTTCTAATAAGCACTAAACGTGAAGTAAAAGTGAGGTTACATAACAGAGCAGCGCCGTCACAAAGTCCAGCCCTGTAAAAATGAGCAATAAGGTAAAAACGTTTTTCCTTCCCAGGCTGAGGAGATTACTTCTGCCACTTGAGCAGCTTTGCCTCTGAGGAATCTTTCATGTGTTAGTTCTGCTTTCAGGTATTAGGTTCCTGCATGAATCCGGACATTTTCCCACTCATGTATGTAACGCAGACACAACATAATAAGTACAAACTGCCCCCGGAAACCTCGTACAAATACAGCCAGTTTCGTTTTTTGACCCGTAGGAAATGTCTCGGCCCACATATGTGACGTTAGCTCGCAGGCTACATTCCTCTTGGTTTGGTTTTTCTGAAACAACGGCCCAGCTCTTGAATATAATTTGTTTAGCTGCCGAGTTTCCCTTGCAGCAAGCGAGCACATAATGAAACTTCAATCTGCAGCTTGTGCTGTTACATAAGCCAGAGACGAACAAAAGGCCCGCTTTGGAGAATGTACTCTTGGGGGGGGGAATCTTTTTCACGGATGTTGAATTTGAATTAAAACAATAAAAACAGGAGCTATAACAGGGATTTGATTGTATTTCTGACCTTTATTTTCAATATTTGCAGAGAACCTTTTAGATGTGATATGAGTCATAATTTCATTACATTTGTTTGCACTAAACTAGCTCTGTTATTCTTCTCAAATTATTTAAATGTGAGCAGAATCCCCCAAACTCCAAATCGATCCTCAGCAAGTATTTGCCTGCACTATTCTCTATTGAGGTATTGCAAATAAGTTCACATAGACATTTATTAATTTAGCCCTTCGTCGGGCACACATACCTCAGAGTAAACCCCAAATATTTGCAAAGCATTCGGGAACATTCAACCAGGGTTCGTTACAAAATAATCCCACCGCAAAGTTCCACTCACAAGCTTTTTGATGCTTTTTCAGACGTATTGTTCTTTAGATCAAGAATGAAGTTTATTCATTTCATGTCATGGACTTATACATGAATGAATTGAGTTGAATTTAAATGATGGAAATTAAGTCTATTTTTTATAATCTAATCCACCAACCAGTCAAGTAGCAATTTGCACCCATGTCTGTTATAAACGATACACTGACCTTTGACCTTCGACAGTCAAATTCTAATTAGTTCATTCTCTAGTCAAAGTTAAGTGGATATTTATGTGAAATTGGGAGAAATTCCTTCCTCCAAACAGGACAGACAAGTTCTGGAGAAGCACAGATCAAGGTCGGCTTATAAATATTCATCTGAAGCTTTGAACGCCCCGCGGAGAATCATTAAATCAATTATTATAAATAGGAAAGAATGAGAGGAAGGAGGACAAAGGAATGAAATAAGGCATGTGGGATATTTCAAAAACCTTTTTGTTGTGATTTTCATTTTCACCTTCACAGACCTAATTTAGTTTATGTGGTGGAAATCATCCAAAAGTCAGCTCAGCTCACTGTGGGTCAGGTTGTTCTCAGCATCAATCAAACATTTCAACTCATTAATTCATGAATCTCTCGTTGGCGGTTGTAAAATTAGTTAGTCACTCTATTGTTTTAATTCACCCTCAACACTCTCATTTGGCTGTTTTAAGGTTTTGCTTTTTTCAGTAAAAAAGCTCTAGAAACACTTCATGCTCTGATAGACAAAGGGGAGCATTTAGCAGCTAAGAGCCAGATATTAACCTCAGATGATGGAGGAGACCAAAGACGGAGCAAAAAGAGGGTGAATATTGGACTTACATTCATCAGGTGGCCAGAAACAAGCCTTTACATTTGCTGCTGGATGTGTAGACTGGACTTTTTTCTAGTTCAACAAATCAACTGTAATCTCCATTTAAATAGACTTCACACCTTTATGGTCAATAATAGTAATAATTAAAGTATATAAAAACAAACAGGTTTTGAGTTTTCACAAAAGGAGTGAGCCCTTTTCCTTTTGTCTATCGTAGCTTCATGAGAGTCAGAAAAGTAGAAAAGAGAGAGTGGAGGGATTAAAGAGGGATGAAACATACGTATAGAAAGAAGACTCACAGCATGTACTGTTCAGGGTGATGTCTGTCCATGTGCCGTTGGGCAAGCACTTCCTGACCTTGGGGCCCACGATCACCCGGTTTCCTCTGCAGATGTATTCTATCTCATAGTCCACGGGGAGGATCTGCACACTGCGGATCTGTCAGAGAAACACCGGCAGAGAGAGACGGGAAGAAGAAGGGACGGTGATTAGTGCGTGATGGATGCTCTCCCGTACCAGTTGTTGTTCTTCTTTCACTCGGCCTCAGGGGAACAGACTCCGGCGCCGTATGGCTGCGGCGGTAAAGTTTCACCAGGAAGAACACTCCGTGTACTTTGGATTGATGGGCTGTCACGCTCTGAAACGCACCTTCTCTTTGGTTGGGAGCCCAGCTTCATGCTAGGGTGTGTGTGCATGTGTGATTTTAAGGTAAGTATGTTGCACAAGTGTGCATGGACGTGCGCAGATATTTTTTTCCTATCGGCACGTCACTGAATGGTGTGAAATGTGGTGAAATAACTAGCCATGCGTCGATGTTTTAATCTGTAAATTAGATACAAATTTTAAACATTTTTTAGTATAAAAACCTGTCTAAAGTTAAACGGGTCAATTTGAAAGTACTTGATTATTCATTCATCCTCATTGCGCAGAATGATTTGTGTTCAGGTCTCCACACCTAGATAAACTCTTCAACCAATCAAATTATCCGATTATTATTGTTTTTTAAAGCTCTGCATCATCCCATCTGTGCTTTTCGCGCGCTTATCAAAACGTAATGAAACGTTAAAAGTAATAGGGATTAAATCTGTTCCTCAGCAATTACAGGTTACTCAAATTCATGAAACAACAATTAGGATCAAGCTTTTTTCCCCAAAGAGAGGCTGCTCAGCCCAGGAGGCCTCGTGGACGTCATTGTGTGCATATGTCCACATTGCTGCAGTCGGATTTCAAACATTTGTTGACTGGCTCAGCTTCAACACTTTGAAACCGAACCAACATCTCTCTCCATTTTGAGCCTCGCTGCAGTACAGAATTCATAGTTTGCTTCCACTCAGAAATGCATTGTTATTTCACCCGAACCACCGTGCAGACATATGAGTTATTATTAACAGCAGGGTATTTTAATATGTCTTACAACGGAGAGGGTCCTTGAAGTAATTAATTAATTCCCATACTAAATAGCAAATATGCACGGTTTATATGTGCTTCTTCTTGGTTTGAAATCAGGTTAGAAGGAATATATTGTTTTTAATCGATAAAGTCCAGGGATTTGTTTTAATCTCATTCACCTGCCATTGGGTCAGTGAGTAGAAATCAAATAGTTTAACACAGTACCTCACCAGTACAAATACACCCGTATTTCTCAAAATATATATTATTATTCCTTTAAGTTTTAAACGCAATAATGCAACTTAACTTTGGCTCATGATGTAATAATAATGTCAGCATCTCGTTTATCTATTCTTGAACATGCTTTAGTGAATACTATTATGTCACTATTTCAATCATCATATGGAGTAATAATAATGACTTGTATTTACTCAGGCTGTCATTACTTTCATTTTGAATCAATCAGGAATAAATTGCATCACAGTAGGGTTGTGGCTGCTTGATGCTTCCACTTTTGTGTTTTAGAAATCTAGCCAGTTTAACATGCTGGATTTGACAGGTGGAGTCTGTACCTGTTCTTGTGTCAGGCCTCTGTAGCGGATCCCCCCATCCCTGGGAGGCCGGATGATAGCGCAGCCTACCGAAAAAAGAACGGTGGAAGAAGAATCAAGGAGAAAAAGAGTGGGGGTGTGTGGGGAGGTGGGGGGGGGGGGCGGCTCTTTAGATAATGCAGATACATTAGAGCAACACGACATTCGGGCCATCTAACTGGTGCCTTCCTCCCTGCACTAATTACAGCGAGTTACTTTCATCTATCGGGTCATGTTATAAACTCACAAACACAAACAAATTACCTCCAGTTGATGAATTATGTATGGGCACAACGAGAGATGGAAGACCATGCAGAATGATCAGGAACAATATTCGAGCCATCTCTGGATCTGCAAGAGAAGGAAGAGAGAGGCGTGAAATGCGCAAAGAAACGGGGCACGAAGATAAAAGGGATACTGAGAAAACACTCTCTTATTAAAGCAACACGTTTAGCTGGTCCGCTGCTGACTGTCCCTTCTCAAAAAGGGAAAATACACTCTTTGGCACAAACGCTCCTTTTTTCAACCTGCCCCCCCCCCCCCCCTGCGCACACGCAAAAGAAGAACTGCAAAATGCCCCAAGAAGGACCCACTTCTCTCTCCAGGCCTCTTGTTAGTGTTTAGGGTGCAGAGTCGTTGTCGATGGGCAGCCTGGCTCCCTTTCAAAAGCACCGCGCACCAAGCGGCATCGCAGGTTGTGACGGCCCCCGAGTTTGGCAAGCGGGCTGCACACAGAAACATTTTACACCAGGGCGGACTCGGTTGTTTTCTTCAGCTCAGGGTGGAAAAGTAGTTGGAGCCGCCTGTAGATTTGTGTAAAAGTGCTGCTACTCGTGTTGACCGAATATAAAGACACAACAGCCCCCCCACGCCAGGAGGCCCCCACAGCTCGCACAAAATGGGAAGGTAAAAAAAGGGGGTCTAATGCAGTAAAACCACTGTTTATCTTCCACCGTTACCTTCCTCGTCCTAGTCAAAACATTGGCCTACATTAGCCGCACAGACTGCTGACATCACTCGATTCGAACTACCAGTCCTCACCCGGCTCAAAAGGAATTACACATGGGTTTTTCACATCAGCACTGGTGCTCTCCAAGACCCGTAAACAGACTCTGAGTTTATAATGAAATCAACAAATATCAAAAATAACCCGTTACATTGATTGAACTCCCCTGAATGTGTAGAAAAGGCTGTGTTTGCTTTGCAGAAATGGTTATTCGTCCGGCCACTTGGTCGCCTGACGTGACTCCATGAGGACAGAATGAGTGTGAAATGCAAACCAACCCAAAGTCAAAAAGAGCCTCGAGTCCCGCGAGCCACAGCGCCTCCAGTGCTGGCAGGGGAACACAAACACACACACAACCAGACACAAGCACACACACAACTGTATCAATCACACGCACACACACACACACACACACTATGGGTGCTCATTTGCAGCTTTGAATAATCAATGCTGCTTTATGAGGGTGTCGCACATGCATGAAGATACAAACGCATCCATAGACTCTCACAGCGAATGAGGCAGCAAGTGGTCGGAGGGGGCGTGTGTGTGTGTGTGTGTGTGTGTTTGCGTGTGGCAAAGTGGGCCCTGCGTGTGTGGTGAAGTGGCTGTGTGGGTAGGGGGGGGGGGGGGGGGCACAACAAAGCAAAGCAGCACAGCCAGGGGAGACAGATGGCAGCGAGGCTTGCTTGTAGAAGACCGACCAACTCTGCTGGATACTTCATTAGCATTATCCGGTGTATTTTTAGAGTTTACTGACAAGACGCAAGCAGGAGGTAGACACCACCAGAGTGTGTATCATGTGTGTGTGCGTAACAGATTACAGTGTTTATCCTGTGAGGAATAGGGAAGCAGTAAAGACAAAAAGGGGAGGGGGATTGGGTGAGGAGGGGGGCGGCCCAGCATGGAGTCATTAATATCAGGGATCCCACGCTGAGCCGGATAAAGCAAACTATGCGGGTGAGTGTAGCCGGGAGGAGGCCGCCTATTCAGCATAAAGCAGCTGACTCGTGGCTGAAGGGGCCCGGAGCAGACGTCGGGTGGGGGGACCAGCCTCAAGCCTTAAATGCAATTAAGACTTTCAGCACCACGGACAGCGCCTTCACCGCCCCACAACACTGCAGCCCGGCGGGGGGGCAAAGAGGGGGGGCCTAACACCTACATCCCCATCATTCGCCACTTCCAACACATCCACCACATCCACCTGTGATGAAGCACAGCCACCGCCTCTGCTTCCCCGTTTCCCGGTGTGCTCATAATGAAGCTGCATCGGAACAGGGGCGGTCCGGTCCGTTTCCGCACCAGATCCCCTGCGGAGCGCACGTGTGTGTGTGTGTGTGTTTGCGTGCGCGTGTGTGTGTGTGTGTGTGTGTGTTTTGCGTGGCTGAGCATGAACTACGGAGACGTGCGGGTCACAGTGAGGGTGCCACCAACCGTAAGCTGCCGGTAGTTACTTGTCGGCCGTTGACGAGGGAATCCGTGACGGCCTGCGGAGGAAGGCCGAGCGGATCCCCGCGAGCCCGCACGGCGCTCGCGGGGTAGCGGATCTCAAAGGAAGCGGCGCCCTGAATAAACGACCGCGTCTTTAAACCTGCCGTGCGTTTGTTTGTTTGGAAAAGAAAAAAGGCTGCAAGATGTCACCCCCCCTGTTCTGTTTTTTTTTCTTTTTAAAGCACCAACACGCAAACGGGAGACGGGATTCTCCCGGGGAGGAATCCGAAACAAATCCGGCCCGCGGAGCGTCGAAATGTGAATTACCTTTGGCGTGGAAATGAAACCAAGCAAAATGTGAGATCCGTCTAGATGGTCTGCGGGGCAAACGTGCAGTCCTCAGAATAAACGTAGTGTCACATCGCGACCCGCAGGCGGTAGTAGCATCTATGTAGCCGCAAAGCTGTAGCATGTGCACTTACTATTAGTTTCGATGCGCTCGGTCTTCACAGCAGTGCGTCGTCCGGGTGGATCCGGGAGGGAAAAACCCAAATTGCAGATTATTTGGTAAAAATATGCATCGCTACAACGATTTTTTTTTATGGCTATGTCAGTATGGCTATAAATGTGCAAGCTGCTCCGCTCGTAAGCACAATGTTACAAAAACAATCTCATCCCGGGTTCTTCACGTATTGCAGTTACGCGCGGCCACAGTAAGAAACGAGAAAAATCCATACAAAAAAACAATATGCATGCACTATATACAAACGCATCCCCATGAACGACGAAACACCGATTCACCACACTCCCCTCCTTTTTCTAGCCCCCCCCCCCCTACAATCTTGAGCTAACACACGACGTCATGATGGAGACGCGCCGTGCGTAACAGTCCCTCTCCTCCCGAGATGAAGCGCGCCACGGTCCGGGCCCGCAAACAGTAAAATGTCACAGTGAATCTCGGGAGGGGGGCTCTGGGTTCATCCCCCCGCTCATAGTGATATCACGGAGGGAGGACTAGGTGCGGATGGAGGTGCGGACATGGCGCTGTGCTGGTAACACTGACTACATTGTTAAGCCTTTTTTTTTTTCCTCCTCTTTTATCCCCCAAAGCTCTTTGGAGTGAAGTCGCCAATCAGCCATTTCTACGACTATGGTCATCGCCTTAAACCAGTCGCCTCTTTGGGGTGTTAACCACCATCATCTGCTCCTCTCCAGCCATCTATTCTGAGATCCTGCTTCATATTTATACATCTTCTGAATAATTGAAGGGAGGCTGGGTAAGACGTAACCTCCCCCTCTGTCTCCCCCCTCCACCTGCATCTGTGAATCAAGGGACTCACGTCCACAATAAATCCATTGGGAGAAACGAATAGTGAGATACAAGAATCTGGCAAGCCGGAGACGTATGATTTGGTTTATTGGTTATAGATAATGACGATGCATAAATGGGAACGTGACATTGAGTAAATCACAGACGCTACTAGTACGGCGAGTCGTTAAGACAGCAGTGACGGCGAGGTTCTTCAGGATGAACTGCGATAAGGAGTTAAATACACACGACAAACTGAGCGCATTCAAAGCATCCGCACAACGAACCAGTCGAACATCCACAACAAATAACACATGGAACTGTACATGTCAATATTTCCCAGCTTTGTAATAATTACATACATTTACAAGTCAATCCTTGACTTTGTGGTTTTGCATCTCACACGTAGAAATTCAAAGTACAATGTCGCAAAAAATAAAATAAGTCTTCAAGTCTAATCGGATACGGCGCCTGGGTGACTGATTATTAGTGTTCTAAAAATCATAGACTGGCACAAACACACAAGAGTTTTGTTTAACTTTTTTTTAAATGGTTCTAAACAGAACTACGGATGAGATTACAAGAAAGTGCTGCTCATGCTAAATGTGTTACTTGTTCCATCAAGGCACACTTTAAATTACAACCAGGGTAATTTCTGTATTTTTTTTTTCCAAAAAGGGAAGCAAAAGAGATGCAAGAAGACGATGCATTTGATGCTGAAAAAATCCAGCCATACAATTGTAAACAATATCCAAACAGCACAAATTTGGGAAAGGTTTTTGCATCATACGACATTAAATAAAGAAAACGCGGCTTCAGCTTTACTGTTGTCACTTTCGGTTCCAGCATAAAGCCCTGACTACATGTCGGAAGTGTCTGTTCACATAGCTATCAAGGAGTGCATGCTGGAGGAGTGGAACGAGTCATTATCATCTTCAGACTCGACTCATTTCAGGAATTTTCAAAAAACGCATTCTCTCGTGCTTTAAAATAACAAAACCCCGCTTGCAGCATTTTGCTTGAAATAAATACTCTGAATGTGAATTCAAACATGCACTGACAGAGAATCGTTTTTGTCATTTTTCCCCACACACCAACATGACGAGGGTGGGTACGAGTGTGGATGTGTTTGTTGAGAGACCCTATGAAACCCCCCCTCCCCCGAACTCCCTCCTCTACCTTGAAGGAAGCGCCGACAGGACTCGACGCGACTGGAGGGTTTTGTTTTCACTCGTCTCACCACATTAGATCCGTGCTGCAGATCTATGCTCAAGGAGCAAATTCTACCCAGAATCCCTCAATATACCGTACACGCGTTCTCGAGGGGGGGAAGAGCGCTTTAGATTCCAGTAGTGTTGCAACCAGGCAGCATTATCAGCTATTGATCAGTGTCGGCACTAGAATAATGTGTTGTCAGTTAACCGACCTGTGCTTATTTACAACGTTTATTACATCACACATCTGCATCCATGCAGTTTCACAGCTAGCTCAATGTCTTACGCTTTGGTTGGTACCTATGTTTTCGGGGCGCTTACCCGAATTGGTTGTTTTTTTTGACAACTCCCTTTTGCCTCTGCAGTGTTTATAGCGTGTTTATCTACGGCCGCCTCACAAACTGAAGCTCCGATGATGCTGCTTGTAGAACTGCAGCTGGCGCTCTTTGGCGCTGCTTTCGGCCAGCTTCTCTCTCCGATCCATCACGCCGCCCTTCTCTTTCTCCCCCTCATCCCCAGTTACGCTCCCCACATCGCTGAGGTCCCCGAGGTGCTCGATGGAGTCGTATTTCTCCAAGTCGGAGGCGATGGTCTGCAGGCTGAAGACCGACAGGGAGTCCGACCCCGCCCGGTCCCTCTCGCTCTCCCGGTTTCTCTCCAAGCCGATGGCTGCGTCCACCCGATCCGTCGACGACGCGCCGCCGTCGCAGGCCCCGCCTTCTTTCTGAACTCCGACGTCGGACTCCGCTCCAACGGGGGGGCTGCGCCCGCCGCAGACTGTGGTGCGCCCGCCCTCCGCCTGGTCTCTCCCCCTCTGAGCGTGAATCTGCTCACTGATTTGCTCCAAGTTCCGTAAGGCGATGGAGTAGCGGGTCTTCACTTTGGCTACATGCTGCTCCAGCTGCAGCACTATGGCTTTGTTCTCCTGGAGTCACACAGGGGGCACAGCTACTTTTACCAGCTATTTCAACACGGGTTTTCACCATGTAACCCGCCAGTCTCATCTACTTAATCCATAACATAACTAATTACAGCAATAAACAGCAGCACATCTAAAACATAATGAAACTGAATGATGTTTTCGGGAGAGAATGGGGAAACACAGCAGAATGCACGCAGCGTCTTGTAAGTGCTTACGGTTTCACAAACTCCCTGTGACTGAATTACCTCCAGGATGTGGTTGAACTGGGCCTTGAGCTCAAAGTAAGGTTTGGATTTCACGATGCCTCTTTTGAGGGACTTTTGCAGCATCTGAACCCGAGCCTCGGCCTCCTGGCAGGCGTGTGTGACTCGCATGTGCTCCCTCTCACTGCGCAGCCGCTCCTCCTCGGCCTCGTTCACCTGCAGGAGACACGCAGGAGGTTACCGCTGCGTGTTCATGACTACGAGACAACACACGTTTCAACTCTACTGAGCCTACGGAACCACCCTGCAGAGTGTACGGGGCTCACTCAGCCCAGGTCTGGTGCACCTGCTGCTCTTTGTTACCTTGGAGGTAGCATGGTTGAGCATCTCCTGCCAGGTGGGATCCAGGGTGTTCTTGCCATCAGCCATCAGACCTTGCTCCGCCACATAGACCATCTCCCTGGCAGCTGTGTGCATAGAAACCGCTCTCTCATAGCTCAGTGCTGCCTTCTGAGTCTCCTGTTGTGCCTACAGAGAGCAGGAAAAACCTTTATAAATGTATATCCTTCTTCAATTTCCATAAATAAAATTGTGCACATAGTGCACCTGTGACAACAAAACAAGTATGTGGTACGCTGACCGGGTGGAGGGCTACATTCAGATCACAGCTCACACAAGAACGAGTCTCACATGAATAATGAATGACTGGCTGTGACCAGATCTCTCTTTGCTGCTCAGATTAACCTTCAGGGGTAGAAAACTGAAAATGCAATATGGAAAAGATTTGCTCTGAAAAATCACACCCCCTTTTTCTTTGCTGGATCAGGCACAAAGTGCTCAGTCTAAAGGACAAATCAGAAGGCTTTTCTTACACTGAGGTCAGCGCATGAGCAACAGCATCTTTAGGAACTACATTCATTTTAGTATTTTCATCTCAGCATGGTATGGGGAATTTCTTGAAAAAAGGATTAAAAAAATGCACATGCAGTTTCACTATCAGACAATTACATTTTAAACAAACGATACATGTAAAGATATTTTAGACGGAGCACATGTTATTTGTGCGTACCTCTTTCGCAAGCCGACGAGCTTCATAGTAAGGTCTCGCTTTCTCAATACAGCCACCCAGCTGAGAGCTCTGAGCATTCAGCTTCCTGGCAGACTCTGTGAGGATCTTCCGGTAGCCTGTTCTGGCATCCTGGATGGTATATGTATAAAAAAAAACCTATTAGATCTAATGATAATGGAATGACAGGCGAGTGGCCGCAAGAGAGTAAAACAATTCATTCTAGTGTTGAACAAGAACATTTTCCATTCTAAGTTGTGACTCTTCCAGAGAAATAGAAAACAAAATGATCATACTGATGAGAAGAGTCTGTCTTATGTCTTATGACAGAGTTTTGTCTTTGTCAAAATCATAGTGTGTTGATGCAATCTGTTCTCCATATTGCTGGAATATGCAAAAGAAGACTGAACAAATACAACTAAATTAGACAGACAGTTCTCACTTACATCCAACTGCAGCTCCAGTCTGTTGATTTCTGCACTTGCTTCATTGAGATGTTCCAACTCTTCCTGGAGAGGGAGGGGGAGAGAGGGGGGGTTACAGACTTAGGTCCTTATTGACATCATGAAACTAGAAATGTGATATTCTTGCACCAGCTCCAAATGTCTCATGTATCATCGTGCTTGAACTGTTTGAGTGCGACGGCAATGCACGAGAGGCACTAACTGGAGCCGGAACGGAATGTACGTCACAGGCACGTGAGTGCTTTCGGGGAGATGAACTGATAAAGATGGTTTAACCAACGTTACTTTCGATCCGGAATCCGAACCGGATTGGCAGACATGATAACGTCACATATATCGGACAAAACGTCAATTCCCTCTCGGTTAAACTTAACCAAATTCACCCACACAGGGCCAAGTTAACACCTGCTACATCCTGGCTGACTAATACGTCTCTGCCACTCGATCGAGTGGTGGAACAACAATAACAGGAGTTGTACCTGTATTCGGGGGTCCAGCTCCTCCTCATAGGGGCTGTGTAATTGCTCTCCAACTCCTTTGTCACTGCCGCTTTCCTCGCAGGTGTCCCTGCGCGTCGTCTCCAGTGTCGTTCCGTTAGTTTCGGCGGCTTTCACCTCTTCGTCCTCCCCGGGGACAACCTCCCTCCAATCCCCCGCATCCGACTCCCCGGAGCCGGCGGGGCTCTCACGCAGGTCGCCTGGCTCCATTCCGGTTCCGCGCAGCTAAGTAGCGGCGTTAGCCGAGCGTTGCCTCTCCAGCAGGCGTGGTGGCTAATTAACCCCCAAAAAGCCAGGGCGTTCGTAACAGCAGAATGTGTTATTCAACAGGGATAAATGAGAAAATAATCCCAGAGTAGGCGAGTGTTGCCGAGTTTGCAAAGTGCCATGTCCTCACACCGAAACACGAACCCGCAGCACAGCTAGCTAGCATAGCCCGTAGCCTAGCGCGCTAGCAGGCTAACACCGTTAGTTGGAATGAAGCTGTTACTCTTACGGCAAAGCGATGTCAATAAACAGTTATAGTGAGTGTCCAGTAAAGGGAGGCCCGTCGGTAGGTCCTTCCATCACATGTGTTGTTTTACCCATCGCTTACCGGTGTGCGGGATCAACTGGTTTTTGAATTAACTGGTTTGTTTTCTCGCGAAGCAGAGGTGTCGTAGGAGTGGCCTGGCGGGACCCGTCTCAAAACAACCAGGAAATAAACATTTCGATCGCTTCGCCTTTCTCTCTCGTTTTTTTAAAGCGGTTTCTTGCGACAGACGAGAAAAGTTCGCCGTGGAATTCGCAACGCGTTGGCGAGGTTGTGGTTGGGATGCGCGGCGGAGAGACGAGTGAGGGATAAAGTAGGCGGTGGCGTCGGTGCCTGTTCAAAACACTCACGTCAATAATTGCTTTTCAAAACGCTGTTGTCCGTCTGACATTAGCATCACACATTGTTGTTACTCCTATGTTAGGTCGACATGAGACCTGCCTACACATAAGGGACACATGCTGAGCTCAAACACCGGCTGTCAAGTGTGGAGAAACTGATCCGCTCAGATTTCCTTGTAATACATCACTGGCGTGTTTTACTCATTAAACACTACGCACATTGATGACGTAGACAACACATTAGTCTCCCGCCAAGACTTCTTTTGAGCCCTGACATCCCAAAAATAAATAATTAACAATTGTTTTTTTTTCGCAAGATTCCATTTTCTGGCATTGAGAACGTCGCTGTCCCGCGTGTTATAAATGTGAACTCCCGCGATAACTAATAATCGACCGTTGAGCTCAAATCACAAAGTTCCGGTTCTTGGGTCAGAACGAGAACCGGAGCGCAACAAACCTTTTCACTTTTTGCTCCGTATGCAAACGTACCTCATTAAAGTTGAAGGAAAACTCCGTCTTTGTTTGCCGTGCCGATGCTTCCCTCTATGATTTTAACAAGCGTCACCAGAACGAACCAGTGAACCGAATCGCCGATTCCACCCGGACACATTAGCTTGCGCGCCTGGACGCTGTTGCCGTGACAACTCAAACAGCCGAGCACGTACACTTCTGCCTGTAGTTTATATTAACATTGTTTTGATAAAGAACACACGATGGATGCACCAGACGAGTCTCTCGTGAAATACGACCATCCACTTTTTGTTGCCAAAAAAAAAGACGAGAAATCAGACAAGGTGAGTTTACAAAGTAACGGCACAAAGTTATATGGTAAGTTAACATGGTATATCATAGAAGATAAAACAAAAAGGGTGTAAAGCTGAAAAATCTAATTTGAATAGTTTATGTGTATCCCCTTAATAGCAATTAGCTACACAAACAGGTTTCATTTGATTGATTTTATTTAAAGAACTAAAGTCTGTAAACTCTGGGTGAAAGGGTGAGTGTCTGTGAGTGGAGCTGGAAGCAGCTATTTTACTTTGTAACTGTCATTATTAACCTTTCAGTGTATATGAGTTAATTACAAGACATTAACGGAACAGCCTTTGAGGGCCTGCTAACACTAACCCCCCCCTCATCAGCCAAAAGCAGCAGCCGCTGATATCTCCAGGCAGGGAAGTCGGGAGATCCTGAACTTTATCTTTCCACCAAGGTATAGAGCTCCACTGATATACATATAGTTCAACAAGAGCAAACCAAAGTCTTATTTATTGTGACTACTGCGTTGCAGGGAGTTGATGGAGGGAAACAAACTGTGGGTGCAGCAGGTGTCCATTGCACCTTCCACCGTAAGAGACGTTATTTGCCTCAAGGAACTGCTGGAGGTGAAGCTGCAGCAGTCGCAGGCCATGGAAGTAGGACTTTGTCCTCAGCGCATGGGGCTCTATTCCCAGTGCTTCGGTGAGGAGCCGGCTGTGATGCTGGCAGATCACTGTGGTCGCAATGACAATCAATGACGATCAATACTGATTTATACACGGACGGCGCATACAAAGCTAAAGGAGACGCATTACAGTTTGTTTTGTAAGGGTTAGGGTTATTTTTAGACTTTTTGTCCGATCCATGAATCCTATATTCATCAACATGCGCTCAATTATCCCACTCTCCTCATTTCTCTTTCAGATGAGCTGATCAGACAGATTACCATCATCTGCACTGAGAAGGGTTTGTTGCTCCTGAGGGTCAGAGATGACGTTCAAAAGACTTTTGCTGCCTACCAGAAACTGTTTGAGAGCGGCTACGCTTTTGGAATGAGGAAAGCCTTGCAGGCTGAGGTGGACAAGAAGGACAGGAGCAAAACGGTAAGGACGTTTAGAAGCTTTGCTGTGTACTTTCACATGTTGATTCTGCCAACTTAATTTACAAACTTGAGTTATTTGACATCATTTCTTAGTTTATTTACAAGAGTTTCAATTTAGTGACGTTTTCACTCATCTTAAGCCATTGGAATGTAGTAATACACTGTTTTTCACTAACGCATCCAGCAGAGAGCCCCTGTTCACTTTAAGATGTAACATCAGGATGGTGGTAGTGCTCTTTGCATAATTGACTCACAAAGTTGTCATTTTTAATGCCAAGATATCTGATCTGGAGGAGGAGAACGAAGAACTGAAAAAGGAAGTGAACAAGCTGAGAGCTTTGAATGAAACTACTGAAAAGAGAAACAACGAAAGGAGGCAAACGAGGAGTAAGGAGCACAATGAAGAGATTAAGTTACTGGAGAAATCCAACAAGCAGCTCAAGGTGATGTTTCTTTTTAATAACAAAAATAACAACCTTTTAGATTCAGAACAAATAGCAGCTGTGGTGTCATGTCTGAAGATTTTTCATATTTGTTCTCCTATTCAGAAACAACTGGAAGAGATCATACATACTGTACATGTATGAACATATACACAAACACAAATATATATATATACATATGCTGCTGCTCCTTGTCTTCCCCCGAGATGGCATCTTGATTGTGAGGCTGTTCCTCCAGCACATCCTCAGCTGCCTCAGATATGTTACCGTTATATTGTTAAATCCTAATGAAATAAATGGTTACGTTAAAACTTGCGTCAGAGCACTTTGAAGTGTATCCGAGCCGTCTCTCCTCAGTGACGTCATTGTGCATGGGGGCGGAGGCAGTGCTGAGGTGGGGTGATTTATGACCAATAGATGGCAGCAACAGTGAGAGTTTCCATCTGTGTCACAGCTCTGCAGCAGGTTTTCACCTCCTAGATCAGCTGTCTCTAGCGGAAGGATTTCATGGTGAAATCATCACTCTTCCTGAGGTTACAATTTCGATGAGTTCATGCAGTAGTTAGCATTCAGCGCTGAGGGTAAATCAATGCCATTCAGGCCTTCTATATGTCACCATGATGAGGCCTGCGTTACATTTATTTACCCTCCTTTAGAAGGTAAGTTTTCATTATCCATCCTACATTTTCTTCCCCAAAGTACCGCTAGTGTTGCTGATCACAAAGCGCCTCTTGGAGCTCCTCTACATCTGGAGCTCCTCTACATCTGGAGCCATGCCCACTTTGTTAAGGTAAATCAGCTGGAACGGCTCTCCCTGCTGTCTCCCATTCTTTCAAGGACCTCTCGTCACTGTTGATGTCCACGCTGACGCGCTGCAAAGAACACCTTCATCCGGTCCAGGTCAACCCCAGCTGAGTCAGAAGCTGCTGTAATGACAGCAGAGACCGTGCAGGCTGCAGGGAATATTGATTGAGACACTTTTAAGACCAGGATAATGTTAAATCTCTACCGGATGACTAGAGATCTAGATCCAGTTCCGCCTATTCACACAAAGCAGTGAATGACATTTTTCGTTTACGAAATTGTTGTTTACGAAAAATCCCAGCTTTTGTGATATCTATTAGATTCAATAATGTAAAACCAAGAGCTAAAATAAATATTTCTTCCTTCTTTTTACTAACGCCATTCTGTTTCCAGCTTTACAGCCCCTCTGCTTTGCCCTGCCAGCTGTAAGCTGCTTAATTTAGGTCCTTTAATCATTTAGTCCCGTTCCCCCGTCTCTCAATGTCAGCCAAACGCCTGCACCATAAATGTTAAATGCATCTTGTGTTGTAAAGAAAAACCAGGTCTCTGCCGTCCATCCTGAGGAGGAGCTGAAAACGAACAGCAGATGCGAATAGCCCGCGATGTTTATGCCAGTCGTGGGGGTGGGGCAGTGGTTTACGAACTCCCGTTTAATCTGCTGCTTTGGCTTTATGTCCAATGGGAACAAATAGTTGTATTAAAAAAGATAATATGACCACGTCCCGAGCTGGGTCAGGAGGACAGCACCGGCCAGACAGACCTATATAACAGATTGAGACGTGCAGAAGTAATCCTGGTGGATTTAAACCTCTGCTCACACACCTTACTGTTAGTTATTTGCTTTCTTCTTTTTTGATATTATCGTTACTCTGGTCAACTGCATTGGACGGAAAAAAAGATTTTCTGTCCGTGGAATCGACCCCGAGGACATCAGGTCTTTAAACTGTTCCTTGGGTAATCTCTGATTACACTGAGTGATGGTATGTTTTTAACGGCAGTGACGACTACATGCAGCAGGGGAGACAGTAAATGTCCAAAGAGAACCCTTTGTCTTCCTGCAGGGGAGAAAACACGCGGCCGTAATCCTTCGCCCTTCACAGGAGGACAAGCGTACCTTTGTCAGGCTGCTGCCGGCTGTAGCTTTGTTGTCTTACAAAAGGCCAACAAGGCCACTTTCTGTCTCAGATTGAAACATAAACTCCCCACAATGGACTCACAAATGCAGAGATTAAGTGCTTTGGTTATGCAAGAAAATGTCTCATTCTCTCGCCAATTTCCCAACAACTGAGTAATTTGAGAAGACGATCTAAGCCGAGATTGGTTTTTGAAATGATTGGATCCGGGGGGGTTTTCCCCCGTTTGAGAACGTCCCAGAATATGAAACAATTTAAGGCATTCCACACAAGTTACGTTTAAATATAGGCATTTAATACAGTAAAATGAAAAATGATCTGTATGTATGTTATGAACAAGACAGTAAATAAACAAATCAATCAATGCTGTATATGTGCATCATTTACGTTGTCTTTTACCGGCATACTAAAGAGTTGTGAGTAGTGCATCTACACGGTTCCATTTATGCAAGAGTGCAATATTTGAGTGACACTAATCCCCAGAACTAGATAAAGTGATAGAATAAGCGGAGCGCACACAAACGCCCTTGACCTAATATTTACAAAATGACAATGTTCAGGTGAGCATTCTCTCTGTCGATGGTAAGAATGTCACTGAGGCACATGTTTTCTCAATTATTTCTGTGGGTTAAAAAAATCAGTTTCTTCAATGTAAAAAGTAGAAATCAAAGCATCTTCTGATGGGACAGAGAGTCACCTGTTGTTATAACTTGAGTTAATAATATATTAAAAGAGAAAACAAGTGCTCTAATTTGGAGAATTTAGTCATCCACTTTACAAATTTGTTTTGAGTATTTGAAATGTACATTATGGACATTACGGTATTGTATCAGTCATTTTGCACTGCTAAACAATCTATTCAAAGTAAGCAGTACTCGTTTCAGCAAGCGGCCCATTCTTCAATGCAGCATACCTGAAGCACACCGCAAAGCCCCAAAATGTAACCGTAAAGGTGAGGATCAGAATTGATTTGGCTAATCTAGTGCATATATTTATTTACCAAGTACCAAAAGCTTTGTAGCGAATTGTCTTTGTCATAACCCTCATGTGGGTGAACATAAAAAGCAACCCAAGGATCAGAAGGGCAAATCTTTGCATGGCTTGTGTTGGCAAGTGAAGACATATAAGCACACTTTTACATAATGCATGTTTAAACAAGCACCTGATATGTTTTGACAATGCAGAAACCTGTGGTAAATGCAAACGCTCTTCCCATGTTAATCCAAAGATCTGTGAAAATTTAAACTACTTTATACTTATGTGCTACATACAAAATTAGAGTTCACTTGCTATTTCAAATAAAACACTGAAAACAAATGATTTACAACTACAAGAGACCTCTGCCTTCAATCTGTTAACGTCTTTCTATTCCAAGATCATGTGATATTTATTTGATAGCAAAGTGGTTGCTGAGACACTCTAAAATTAGAAGAGGGCTTGCACGAGCCCAACGTACCGACTCTGATTGGCCTTCAAAGGGGGCCTTGAAATAAAGGTCTCTGTCCTTGAGTCTGAGCCAGCGTGGTTCCATGTGCAGAAGAACCCACAGGCCCCTTTTCACCTCTAGATAAGTTTCATGGTGAACCTGCCGCCGTCCGCTCCCTCGCCTGCACCACTCATCGAAGAGCGAGGGACAAAGTCAATAGTCGCCGTGTGCTTGATCTGACCTTTGCTCTGGCTCCAGAAGAACATGAAGACAAAGCAGATGGCCACTGAGCTGAGGAAGGACAGGAAGCCCATGGTGGTGGCGATTATCAGGGTCTTTGCGTCAAACGGGTACGGCTTAGACATTTGAGCCGAGGAGTTGGCCGCTTGGGAGTTTGAAGGCTCCAGCCAGCCTTCCTCTGAGAAGACGGGGATGGTTCGGTTACGAGGGAGCCCCTTGACGTACAAGCCGACGGTCAGGCTGTCATTGCCGGCCGCATTGCCCGCCAGGCACTGATACGTGCCACTGTCCTGCACTTGGGCAAATCGTACTTCTAGAGTACCATCGGGCAAAACTCGGATGCGTCCCGTTGGACTAACCACATTCTTGAGGGTGGAGATCCAGGTAATCGATGGGAATGGATCCCCTTCGGCCTTACAGGAGAAGAGAACCGTAGTTCCCTCTTCTACTCTGGCCTCCTGCGGCCTGCGGTCCATGACACGGGCCGGGCGGCACGTAAACAGCCGGGGGAGTTCCTTCTCGGAAAAATCTCGGAATTCACGCTGACTCACTGCATCAGGAGACGAACAGGTGGGCTGATGTCCATCAAAGTTCAAGCGCAATCGGCGGCGGACCACCCAGAGAAGCCGGCAGTCACATGCTAGGGGATTCCTGTCCAACCGCAGCACCTGAAGGTTCCCCACAGAGTGGAAGGCGCTCTCCTCCAATGTAGTGAGCTGATTGGAGGTTAAATTAAGCATGCGAAGGTAGGCCAGTCCCCTAAAGGCGCCCGGCTCTATTCTCAGCAGGCCCCCCCCTTCTAGGTGTAACTCCTGTAGTCTTATGAGGTCCCCGAGCAGATTACCCTGAATGACAGTGATGGGGTTGTAGGACAGGTCCAGGTAGCGCAGATACACCAGGTGACGAAGTGCTGAGTAAGGAACAGTACTTAGGTTGCAGCTGTTGATGACAAGCGTGGTCAAGTTGAGACCGATCAGGCTGTTGCTAGCCACAGTGTCCAATGATGGCCAGTTTGCTATCAGGAGGCTGTGCAGACGGTGTAGTCGCCGGAAAGCGTTGTTAGGGAGTGTAGAAATAGTGAGGCGCAGCATGCGGAAACGCGCCAAACTCTTGAGCTGCGACAATGCCTCGGTAGGAACGGAGGTCAGATTGCTGCGGTCTAAGTTGAGCTCCTGCAGATTCTGCAGACCAAAGAAAGCGCGCTGTGAGATGAAGACCAGGTCATTCTCCTCGACTTCCAGCGTTTGCAGGTTGCTCAGTTCTTTGAAGGTGTAGTCCAGGAAGACCAGGATCTCATTCTGGCTCAAATCCAGAAGACGCAGATTTGACAGTCCAGAAAACACCCCGACCGGGATGATCTTCAGTCGGTTATTCTTAATCCGAAGCGTCCTCAGATTCTGTAAGGCCTGGAAAGCCTCCACCTCAATCATGGAGATTATGTTATCACTGAGATCCAACTCCTGAAGTTGCAAGAGGCCAGAGAACTGGCGGCGCCCAACAGTCTTAATCTTATTGTGAGATAAATCCAAACGTCTGGCATCACCGGAAAAGCCCTCCGGCACCGAGTTCAAATGTTTGCCAGAGCAGATCACCTCTTTAGCCTCCGGTCGGCACACACAGCGCGGAGGACAGCCTCCTGCAGATAAAACCGATGCAACCTGGAACAGGATAATCCAGGCCCCCCATCGGAGGACTGACTCCACAAACATCTTACCCCCAGCCTGAGAAGAGACACACATGGAAAGACACTAGCTCTGCTGTGTTTGGCAATTTATGCAGAAATGTAAATTCTTAAGCCCATGTTTTAAAAGAAAAACAGTGTTAAAATCTCAAGCATTGTTTCTTTGTATTTCATTTATTTCTTAAAAAGGTATAAAATTGCTTAAAGACGTACCGTTTCAGACTCGGAGTGCAGATTTTCATAACCAGCGGCAGTCAAATTGGAATCAGACTTGAGTTAAGTCCTCTGTAGAGATCTGGTTCCGTCAATAACGTGCCCTTTAGAGTGAGAGAAACAACAAAATGAGAGAAACAATTGCTGAACTTACTCACTCAGTTAATGTTCACACTTGTTGGGTTCTATAGGTGGAAATTCAACCACTGTTCCCCTTCAGTTTAAAGTCATCTTCCCCCAGCACGGTCGGTCCCAATGAGACGAGTGACTGCTACCAATGTAGATCTGAAGAGACAAATTCCAACTGTTCTGTTGCTGAATAAGTCTGTCACAAGATTTTGTGTCAAACAATATACACTTTAGTTTTTAAAGTGAATAATTCACGTGAAACATTTCTATTTACTGAAGTAAGATCACAATTAGGTAGTCTCTCATCCGAAGGAAGGCATTTAATACACTTAAAACACGCGTGCATTTAAATATTCATATCAAAAAGAAATAGAAAGTATGTACATCTAAAGTAGAATAAATGTGCTCCAAAATTATTAATGATGAACATCAAGTGAAAACCCAAATGGACATTTTGAAACTAATAATAATGTTAATGATAATTACACTGAAAGAAAGCAACCTGAGTTTTATTTAGAAAAGGTGTCTAAAAAGAACCTCACCCTGTGGAGTGCTGCACTGTGAAACATTGCGTAATTACTTTCGGCTCTTTCTAGTTGAATAAATGGGTGCTGGGCAAGTATGTGATATAAATTATATATTTCTATCTCCAAAAAGCATCATGAGAGCTGCTGCAGTACGTGCAAAAAAAGGTAACTAAGCCTTAAAAAAAAATCCCATTTCTTCACACAGCATCAACAATGTCCCACAACTGCATCAGATCTCAAAACCCAAAACCCAAGCAGCACTCAAACATTTTTTCATCACCAGGAGAGATATAGCATATCATGCTTTGACAATACAGCCAAGACAATACGAATGTCAGACCGACTCTAACCTGCGGCCTCAGACGGTTTCCAGAGTTCTCCTCGCCCTCCCTGCAGTGTTTGAATGTCCCCAAGCTGTTCCGTCTTTATCTCGTCCCTGCTCGTCGAGCGATCCCGATACTGTCTGGCTGCACTGACCCACAACTGAGACTCAGAGACTCCCGGGTCTCCTCTCAGACCGATACATCCGCCACTCACCACGCACCGATGCCGGCTTTCTATTGAACTCTATATTTGGTCGGGGGGGTTCTTGTCCATTTAGTTGGGTTTTTGTTAAGTCATTCTGATGAATACTGTTTCCTTCAATAATTTAAATTATTTTAACTTATATGAGTTGTATTGTTGCATGATGGCCTTGGAGACACTTCGCCAACCTCTCTCCTTCCCTGGATGCAAAAGTGTTGACACTAAATATTGGCTTCTAGCCTTTAAGGCTCAATGGCAGTCTTCTAAATGTGACTCTAATTGAGCCCCCCCCCCCCAGCCAACAACACTGAGAGACAGAGACAGGCAGGTGTGTGGCTGGTGGGCTGTCAGCTGCTCAGCCCCTCCAGCCAATCAGAGCCCAGGATCGCTGCGTTTCTGCACCCATGATAGAGCGACGGTCCGGCCTCAACTGACCCGACCCGTCAAATTAGAAAGTGAGGAAATAGATGCATTTGTAATTTTGACATTTCTCACCCTGCCTGGAATGTAGTCACATGACCGTACTTTACAGTCACTTTACAATCTGTCTGAAATAAAGTTAAAGAGCTTATCTCTCTCTACGATTTGATTGGAAATGACATCACTGGATGGGCGGGCACCGTGGTTCCTATTGGCAGGTTTTAATACTACAGCGGTTTCTGCTCCCGGGATATTAAACGGAGCGGACCGCGTAACATTCTCTTGCTGCCGGCCATCCACCAAAGAAGGAGGGATTTGTTTTCTATGTTAATTTCTTCTTGTATGCATATAAAGGTTCACCATCAGCTCCCTCTCTTTCTCTCTTTAACTCCTGAAAAAGATAACCTTATAAACCCTGGGACAAAAAACCTCCTGCGCGGGTACTTTTGGGGCCTGGCTCAAAAATTTAGAAAAAGTCTTCACCAAAAAAACCCTGATTATTTTTTTTTGGGGGGGGGGGGGGGGGGGGTTCGCCCGAAGGCGTCGTTTAAACTGGCATGTGGAAGCAGAGATATCGAGAAACGCGTGTGTCAATGTGGCAACCAGCTGGAGTCCGTGACAAATAGGAATGTTTTAATAATGAGGGCCCACATTGAAACACGTGTATTACTTGGATTGATCAAGTATTGATTAAAGGACAAGCCGACGAGAGGTCACAGCAGTTTTCATAATTAAAAACAACCAGGAAAAGTGGATTTTTTAAGTGTGTGTTTCAGTATTTACACCCACGTAGCGCGCGGAGGAAGTGGGTCACAGTGACGGATCCACACACATCGGTCGTGGTGAAGCACTCTGCTGTGATTCCTCATTCTGACGAGGAGGACGTTGAGACGCTGCGCAACGTCACGCAAACCGCGCCGTCTGCAATATTAATAATAGCACAAATAAATGAGGGAAGGGAATTGGTCTCAGTGCAGCGCCTGTGCGTCGGGACAAATGAGGTCGTCAGCGACGATGCGTCCGATCCATGGACGTTTATCGGAGGGATGAGGGGAGGTCACACGTTGACCCGGTGCAGCTGACTGATGGGAAAATGACTCTTAACCTGGAACAGGTCGTTCATTGACCAAACTGTAGGGCAGCCGTTTGTGTTTCTTGAAAAGAAGAAAGAACAAATAAGATCAATCAATAAGGAGACAAAAGAGGGTAAAAAAAGCACCACAGGAGGAAGTCAAACTGTTCTCAAGTACAACATCCGAGTAAATGTCCTTATTTTTTTATCATTTTGCACATTTCCAAGAACCAAGACCTCAAGGTCATGTCACCGAAAGAAATGAGGTCCGTGTCCTGCAGCCTAAGAGGAGGAAAGCTTAAGAGCCAAATGGGAAGAGATAGCTCTGGTAATTTATCATTGTTTGGGGGGTCTATTTCTTAGAAAAGCGATCAACTCTTTAATCTCCTCTCTCGACTCTGCAGGTGGAGCTTTTTTTAATCTACCGGGGACGGAACACAATCCCACCGGGTTTCCAACGGATCCTCAGCCAGACAAAGTGGCACAAAGTAAAAATGAAACAGAGACGTAGGTGTGTGGGCGGGGCTTGGAGGCCTCATGTCACCTGTCCATGTTGTGTCTTTGAAAGACGAAGACTGGGTAGCGAGGACAGGTATAGATTCATGTATTGTCATTTTAATGACAAATAGAGTCATGGGTTGATCGCCACGACTTGGTCGATTGAAAAGTAGCTCTCCAGCTGAAAAGGTGTGGCCACCCCTGGTTTAAGTCTTCTATGACCCAGCACGCCGTCTGTTTAGAATCGTCATGCTAATTTTGGAGTAAATGTAAATGCAGGAAATGCGTTAAGGCGGGGGCAACCGAGTGATTGATAGGTCTGTAACAAAGCGTTTTTCCAGTTTAGGCGTTGTCTGTATTTTTGTCTTACAACTGAAACCCTAAAATCGTAGTCAAATCAAATCTATATAAAATGGCTGGAACAAAACGGAGGTACGACAATTCTGCTGGAAAACGGAGCGACCGTCTAGACCAGGGGTCCCCAAACTACGGCCCGCGGGCCGCATACGGCCCGCCTCCACATTTGACCCGGCCCCCTGAACAATACAGAGACGGGAAAAAGGCTACTGGTTATGGTAAAATGGTTGTGTCATACAAGTAATTACGACTGCTCGACGGATCGCGGTCCCTTTAAATGTTCTGTTGTTGTTGATGACGTAGAGCCCGTTGATAGGGAGATTACAGGGCTGCGCCATCTTGTTTTTTCATCCGTTGTGAAAAATAAACGAGACACACGCTTGTTCTCAACTTTCTCTGTGGAATGCAACTTCCACAATAATGGCAACGGTGTGGTAAGAGAAAAAATGATTCAGAATGCAGGGTATTTAACCCGCAGTGGACACATGATTACTTTTTTGTTCAGTTGAAAGAAAAGGCTGTTTGTCTCGTCTGTCAAGAGACGGTGGCGGTATTCAAAGAATACAACCTGCGCCGACATTATGAATCCCGTCACAAAGACTACGTATGCTAGCCTGCACTGCCAAATGCGAGCAGAAAAAATGTCTAAGCTAAAACCTGGACTGTTCGCTCAGCAGACTACATTTGTACGGCAAACTCAGCTGAACCAAGCATCAGTTCGGGCCAGCTTCCGTGGTGCTCAGCTGATAGCAAGCTGCGGTAAATCTTTCACTGAAGGAGAGTTTGTCAAGAAATGTTTGAATGTTGTCGTGGAGGAG